GATTCGAAATAATTGTCTCCATATCTTCGATAATTAAATTAATCACCGTAATTTAGCTTACACTTATGAATTTAGGGAGCACTTAAAATGTGAAATAATCATTTCACTACCCGACAAACTCCGAAACTTTTTTCATTCATTAGGCCTACATAATAGATTCATATTGCTGTACTATATACTCCAACATCACTGGCGTATGGTAACAACCAACTGACTGCATACCATTTCCGGTCACACATTACTCTCCATAACACAGCACCCCCTAGTTCCGTCACCTCTGGATAAAGCCTAATCAGTACCTTACTATGTATTAGTTCTAAAATGAATTATAGTCACAGTCACAGTTGCTCTCATACAGTACAGTACTGCAGTAAGTTATTTGAAGATTGTTGAATCATATTTGAATTTAAAAAATATAATGATGTTGATGGAACAAGTAAATTCCATGTGGAATTTCTTGTGGTTAGTATTATTGTTTAGATTGATGAGAGCTACTGAGTTGACAGATTTTTTTTCTGACCTAGAATCCAACAAAAGATTACTGTGCTGGTCATTTGGTTTGACCTTATTACTAGGTGATGCTCACCAATTAGTAATACTCAAATAACTCAATATCTCAATAATATCTCAATAACTGCACAGATACAGTATTTTCCTTTGCCTGGAGACTAGCTTTTGGTAGGTCATTATGCTAATGAGGTCAAGATTAGTGGAAGAAATTCATTGATAATTAATATGCCTGAGTGACATAAGTAAACAACAACATGCTCATTACCTGGCAGTGGTAGAGGATCTGAATTTGAACAAGACGTGCATACAAAACCTTGCATGATGAAAATACAGTACATGGATTTTAATACCTCGGCATTGAGTGCTTTCTGTAGAAAAGCAAACACAATAAATTCTTATGACTGCTACTTATCAAAGATCATGGAGGAATAAGTTGCAAACATTTTTGAACTATATATATATATGTCTCCTACCACCTGTGAAACAGCCAAACTTCCGTAGGCTGCAGCACTTAATTGAAAGGGATACTTATTCTTATATATTAAAATTAAATGTAAATTCTCAAGAATTATCCGAAAAACAATCTTTGTTTTGATTATTGTGCAATTATTACTAATGTAATTGCTGTAGAACCCTAATGAAGGTGACACCTTCGGGCCTAGAAATAAATGATATGATGTGATAAATGATGTGATAAAAAGTGGTAGGAGTTTGCCATACTATTAAAAGATATATTTTCTCACTTCATGGGGAGAAGGTGTCCCCTTAATTATAGGGATGTCCCCTAAATAATTGTGCCAAAGGAGGAGTTCTAGTGTATTAATTTGATATTACATAAATGCTTTTGATAATCAGCCGTTGACTTATTAATTACAGTTATAGGGATAATAACCAATGGTCATCTAGAATTTTTAATCTTGTTCAGAGCCTTTTTCTGAGTGAAAATATGTCAGTTTTTAATAAGAATATTTCAACAAAAAACAAAAAAAAACCCAACTGTCTACTGGTACAATATAATTTTTTTTTTCAATCCTTTATAGAATTTCTGTCCATTTGTAATTTCATTCTTAAATTTCCTCTCAGTGTTATTAGATATGTCCCCTGTTTTGTCAACAATACAACACTGTACAGAGGTCGCATATATTTAAATTTATAATTCCAATATGCAAATGAAATGTGGGAACAATATGATGAATTCATAGAGTACATATTATAATGCATTAAGTAATCAATATGGAGCAGTAACCTCTATACATGGCGAACGGAAATGGCTACAGTAGGTATTACACTAGGTAATAATAATTTCATTGTATTTATTATTATAGATACAAAAAATTAATAGTATTTATTATTACAATATAAAAGAGCATTTTATATTTATAAAACAGTCTACTTTTTATAATCAATGTGGTATTTTTTAAAATTAAAATTACAGTTTTTCTGTAACTAATTGTAAGATAATCTTAGAGAGTAGGTTTCTACTGTATATATTATTTTTATAATGTTCCATTTCTGCTGTATAGCCCTTGAAAACATTTTATACTGTACAGTTTCTGTTCCTCAGTAAGACCAATTTAATACGAAATTAATAATTTCTTTTATTATAAAAATAGCACTAAACAATTTGAGATGAGGCATACAGAGAATACAAAGTTTCCTCAAACCCTCCCCTATTTTCCTCTTCCTCTTCCCAAAGAAAAGTAAATAAAATGTTGATTAAATTCATTTTTGAAGTCTTCATTTCATTTTCATAAAGTACAAGGTGTACATTGTTCTTCCCTGCTTCTCTCCCCTCCCCACCTACCCCAGTGTGTATTTTTACTCTTTAAAAAAATAGCAGATATACTGTAGAAATAGGTTGTAGGGTAAACTATAAGATGGGTTAACTAAAATTGATGGCATAGTCTAGTAAAAATGCCAGGTTGTATATCATCATAACATAGTTAAAATAACAGCCAGTAAATACATCAACCATACACAGAACTAAGGAATTTATTTCTAAAAAAAGATTAACATATGACTCAGGAAAACCTGTCCTTATTCCCAATTTGACAATCACTACATAAAAATTGTTCTGAGGAACTACTACTCTGTACAAAAGTTACACAAAAAGTACAGTAAGTTGCTAAAATGAAATTAGAGTGATTGCTTCAGATTTTATTGTACTGCCTTTAACAGGGTTAGTAGGCATTCTTGAAAGTCCTAGAAAAACAAATGGGCATTTTCCAGTACAGGAAAGCTCTGGAAAATTTATTTTTAATTGTCCTTGAATGTCCTGGAAATTTCATCATGGTATCATTTCACCATAATAAATGAATAATCTTCCATAGAAAAGAAAAGTGTAAAAAATTGAACTTTCTCTATGTTCGTTAAATGTCATTAAGGGCATACTGTATAGCAAATTTGGCAATTATAATTGTTCAGAAATACCTAAACACAAATGTCCTTGAAATTTAAATAAAACGTTTGTACTTGAATGTCCTGGAATTTTACTTCCTTCAGTGTACAAACTCTGTTTTTAGTTTTGGTGAAGAAAATAGTCAAATTTTCCATAGACGGGCTTTTTGTGAGTATTTATAGTAATATTTGTATTGCACTGCAATTCGCGTTCATAACTTTGAGATCAGCGTGTTGAATGGCACATTATTCTATATCAAAATCTATTAAAATTTAATATTAATTGCGCCTCAATTATTCAATCATGTGATACAAAATACACCACATATAATAATGAAGAAACTATGAACTTGTATTGATTATTGTATTCTTTTGCCGACAATATAGATTGCAAAGTAACAATTCATATCTACTACAGTAATTGGTTTTTTTGACTAGTGTAACAATTGACATGCATATTGTAAAACATATAAATATAAGGAACATAGTGTGTAACTGGTTTTTTTTATGTCGTAACATTCAATATTTGTTGTAACATCAAACAGGATTTTAAAATATAGTGGGTAGCATTTGATAATTGGCAAAATAATGTCATCCTTCAGCAAAATGAAACATATTACTGTACACTGTACAATCTGCTGTGGCATATCACAGTGTCAATTTTCAACTAAAGTACACTCACTTTTCTAATTTACTCATCAATGGTTTGGTGACCTTAATCCATAGTGAGTGGTCTCCCTCTTTAGTTTATGGAATTTGGACTGGATAGTGCCAAATTCACTAGATGGGGGCCTAATTCACTGGGGGATGGGGAAAGATTCCTGTAATATGGTATACCATACCTTGGGCTCATAAAAATAGGTTGAACCAATTACTGCATGGTTGAACCTATAGATAAGATCAAATTTGATTTTCTAGTATTATAATTAGAGAGTAAATTTCTTCCTGTGCAATCCAGGGAAGCCCGCAAATGAAAGCCCTTTGATATGCTAATTTCGGGAAAGCCATGAAGCCTTTTGGTAGCTAGCTGCTCTACAATTCGCTTTTTCATGTGTCACTGTAGACTCAAAGCGCTATTGAAATTTAAATAAAGGTTTTTATTCATGGCACTGAACCCAGTTGTTGGGGCTATTGTTGCGTTACAATAGAAGAAGGAAAAAAAATATACTGAGGTAATCAGCAAGCACTTGGGTTTTCAAAAGGTAGCAGTTACAATGTGAGGATTTAAAATTTGGATTTGAAAATTGATGTGGAGATTGAAACTGTTTGATTACGTATAATGTTGTTATCTTATGAAATGACCATATGTTAATGGTGAGTACAGTTACATTCTTTCTTCAGCAGTGTAAAAGGGAAATCTTTGAACTCAAAATCTGTATTAGCTTAGATGTTCTCTTTGATATGAGCTGTGGTTCAATTGTACTTGGTTTTTACAGCTCTTAAATACTTTTAATCAAGCTAAAAGTAATTTGGTTTTGATGATTCAAGTTGATTTCATTTATTTTACAAACAGAAATAACAACAGACCAGAAATCAGAGACAGGATTAAAACAAAAAGGAAACTAAATTGCTGTACAAAGTTTCTCCACTGATTTAAATAAAGATACATAAAATAAATATATAAATCTCTATTCTCTGAAAGTTAAAACGAGCAAAAAGATCCAATCCAAAAAATGTAAAAAATTTTTTTTTTACCTGTAAATTAAAAAAATTGTTCACAGTACAGCGAAGCAGTGACGGCAGCAGAGCAGGTTAAAGAGAGGAATTTAATTAAAGATTATCCGCCATCCTATACACAAACTTTAATTTTGAAGTGATGTTCTCCAGTACTTCCTATCAGTCAAAATTTTTGTGTGAGATGTCTCAGCTTGTATGTTGCTAATTTTTAACTGTTAAATAAAGGGATGACTAGGTATGGCCCCTCCTACTCAATATCCTATATTTCTGCCTCGGTCCAAACCTAGATTTTCCTCTAAGAAAAGTTTTATGTGTATTCCCACAGTAAAATATACTGTATGCAGCCACTTTTACACTTTATGGAACTATGTAGCAAACCTCAAACACATGATTTTAAGGTTTTACCATTACATTTTGTTGTTGATGTCTTCAGTGGGTGCCTGTCTCTTATACACATCTAGATGTGTATAAGAGACAGCAATATAGCATCTAGATGTGTATAAGAGACTTCTTCAGCAGTGTAAAAGGGAAATCTTTGAACTCAAAATCTGTATTAGCTTAGATGTTCTCTTTGATATGAGCTGTGGTTCAATTGTACTTGAAGTTTTTACAGCTCTTAAATACTTTTAATCAGCTAAAAGTAATTTGGTTTTGATGATTCAAGTTGATTTCATTTATTTTACAAACAGAAATAACAACAGACCAGAAATCAGAGACAGGATTAAAACAAAAATGAAACTAAATTGCTGTACAAAGTTTCTCCACTGATTTAAAGAAAGATACATGAAATAAATATATAAATCTCTATTCTCTGAAAGTTAAAACGAGCAAAAAGATCCAATCCAAAAAATGTAAACATTTTTTTTTTAAATTAAAAAAATTGTTCGCAGCACAGTACAGCGAAACAGTGACGGCAGCAGAGCAGGTTAAAGAGAGGAATTTAAGTAAAGATTATCCGCCATCCTATACACAAACTTTAGTTTTGAAGTGATGTTCTCCAGTACTTCCTATCAGTCAAAATTTTTGTGTGAGATGTCTCAGCTTGTATGTTGCTAATTTTTAACTGTTAAATAAAGGGATGACTAGGTATGGCCCCTCCTACTCAATATCCTATATTTCTGCCTCGGTCCAAACCTAGATTTTCCTCTAAGAAAAGTTTTATGTGTATTCCCACAGTAAAATATACTGTATGCAGCCACTTTTACACTTTATGGAACTATGTAGCAAACACATGATTTTAAGGTTTTACCATTACATTTTGTTGTTGATGTCTTCAGTGGGTGCAGCTCGATTTGACTCTGTTATTTTGGGTGGTACAGTTCATGTCTCATTCCTATACATCCTGAGGCTGAGTATTTGCTTTCAGGTGTCTTTGTTATTGAATAATAACATTTCCAATTTTAATGTGCTACATTTGCCAATTTAGGAATCAAGATTAATATATTTTTACTTTATTTATTAAAAATACATCCAAAGGAATGACAATAACAAGAGAATGAATAACAAGACAATATAAAATACTAAATTATAGAAACGAAAATTAAAATTTGCTAATACAGTGTTATTGGTATATTAAATCATTAAGAATGTTATTAAGTGAGAGAGAGAGAGTTTAAATTTAATTTTTGAATATGTCAGGGACTTTCATATGACACTACTAGAATATTCCTTAAAATGTAAAATTTAGTTTGAAGTTTCTGGATAAATGTCAAAATTTATATAATGTTAATGAACTATCTTGAAATAGCCAATACTGCACTATTATAGTGTAGTATACAGTAGGCCTACTGTATATGTATCCCCAGATATCCTTTGTAATAATGTCAAATTCAGGGTACCCTATCAATTCGGTCATAGTGTACTTGGTATAAAGGTTAGGCCTTTGCCACATGTGATGTTCTAAGATTTATGTATAGTTTTTTTTTTATAACCTATGAGAATTTTATGAGTTCTATTGAGCACACCTATTTTATTGTACAAGGGGGATTTTGATCAGCTGACTACCTGTGTTACTGTCTATTGGCTCCAGTCAGGCTACTTAAACTTTAACCGCCAATTAATGCAGTGTACATTGTTGTATATTTCTGCTTGATTTTTGTGCTTAGAATGCATAACAGTTACTGTATCTATGGAATTTACCAGTTCCTTGATGTTCCAAAGAAAGTACATACTCATAGACGTTTGAATAGGTTAGGTTAATCTTCAAAGAGGGGTGCCCTGAAATTGATGACTATATGTGTGTTCGAGCGGTGCACACATTTTCTATACTGTGTAAATGACAATCAAAGGCACATCCCCGCGTTTTAGCACAAAAACGACCTGTGGTTTAGCATGTAGAAACTACCCCGGAAGTATACACCTGTTGACCTCGTATCCCATCATTCCATGCCATATTTACAGTACATGTTGCACACACAAAGCACACTTTACCAGTATTCGATAAATTGCAGTTTTCATTATTGTGTACTTTATCATATCAACAGGTAGTTTTACTACTTTCCAACATCATGGCAATGGTAATGCGCATTTATATCAATGCTTTGTAGGGGCGGATCCAGGATTTTAAAGTGGGGGGGGCGGGTTCAACATGCTTGCAAAAAACCCAAAGGTTGTTCGGGGGGGTCCTCGTCTGTTAAAATTTTGATTCCTAGATGGCCGGAAATGAGCTTTCCCGACTTCTGAGGTGTCTTTTAATGACCTTTCCTATAATTTCCTCAAAATTCAAGGTTGCCCCCTCTTATAAAAAAGGTCAGGTGATTTTATCTCATCTTTAGGCCTATACATAGAAAAAAAAAATCAAAGAATTGCCTTGACAAGATATTATTAGGCCTATATTCCAACAATCTGGAATAGTTGGATACATACTCTTTCTTCCATAGATCAATGAACTGATAAGCCTGAAAAACTCACTTGCGTACATACTGTAAATTATCATGACGTTGAGCTATAAACAGCGTTTTTAATTAATATTTTATTTAATTGAAGGCTAGTTTGTCTAAACCTAGTTTGTCCGATCTTCCAACCTATGCCTATGTCGGTTAACATGCCTTTTGTAAGACAGGACAGACCCAGTAATGTTTTGTTACGTTTCTTCACAGAGGGGGGTTCGTCTGAACCCCCTGGATCCGCCACTGCTTTGTACGCTGAAAATCAGCTGAACCTCACGCTTACATAGGCCCAGTATAGGGAATGCCTTAAGACTGTTTAACTAAACAGAGTGGGAAACTCCCTTTCCAATCATAAATTGACCACAAAAACCACATGAATGTCCTAATAATGTGAAACACTGATGCTGTGTTCCTGCGCATCAGTGTGAATACGGTGACTGCGCCTTCACAAGTTGTGAAAAGCGTTTCAAAATCATGACTCGTCAAGTCGCGATTTTGACAATAATCACCGGAATGCGGTGTGTACAATACTACTGTATTGAAGTTTAGAGTACATAATCCTGCTTTCTTCAGCACAGTTACCCTTTTGTTCATGTAGTATAAAGGTTAAGACATCAGCCATGTGGCGTAAGAGGAAGATTTATGGATCATTGTTTGTAAATAAGGTACTAGAGTGTAGATGGTGCATGAATTGATTTTATTGTACAACAGGGATTTTGATCTGTAGCTGTGGACATGTCATACCTATTACTTTGTACTATTCCACTGAGATTCAAATCGGATGATCATAGGAATTTATTTTTTTAGGCTTTCAATAAACATGTTTATGAAATTTACCTATTCTCAATTCCCATGTCAATAAATCATCAAATATTACATGGTTTTTTTAAATGATTGTAGCCACCAGTAACTGTGGTAAACTTAACAATAGCTTGACACCTGGTACTATAGAAATACAGGCAAAAAATTGGAAAAAATTTTCTCACAAAATTTATTAATATCCTATAGCAGATGTAATGGAATTTTATTCTCAGTTGAGTCACTAAAGCAAGCTGACCATTACTAGAACATGTACTAAACCCTCCCTTTAAATCACTAAAAATAGACCTCAGACAATATTTAATAGAGGGGATACAAGACATCAAGATCCTACAGGAAATCAAGATCCTACAGGAAATCAACAGTCAACAACGAATCAGAATCAAGGAAGCTTAAGGAGAAACCTTAAGGCATAATCAACTTTTTCAGAAGAAAATAAAGTAAATAATGATGATGTAACATTCTTTCTCGGTATAAATCCTCAACTAAAAATCATCAATTTTTCGATTTTCAAGATTGTTTTCAAATCTTAAATTCTTGATTTGTTTTGTTACAGATTCTAAACCGACTAACAGTGCAGACACCAAACAGAGTAGTGACAACAAGGCATTATATTTAAGCTATAGAATTGCTTTAAAAGAGCGGGATGAAAGTTTAAGGCAAAACGCTGTAGCAAAAAAGCAACTAGAAGAAATCCAGAAGAAACTAACAAATAAAATGCAGGGATACGACGACCCGTAAGTTGATTTGCCGAAATAAGATGCTTTTAATATTTTTTATTTCTCATCCAGAATGTGTGTGACTGAACACTCAAGAAATTTACAATGTCATTTAAACATTATATGGCAAACTAAAATTAATTAAAATCACTGAATAAATAGTTGATTAAAACAAAAAAAGAGTTATTTTGCTGATTAATCAAAAAAGTTCTCTTTACTACAAAATACTACAAATTTATAACAGTGTTTATAACCACACTGGTTATATACAGGAGTGGTGTTGTATTTCTTTTATAGCTTTTAATTAATTGGCAATAAAAAGTTTATTATAATTTTCAATTAAAAGTTTAACAAAGAATCTAAATTATACTTTCCCCATTGACTTACGGTATCACAGATAGTGCCATTAAAGTCAGGCTCCGGAGGAAAACAATTGTTGATATGTTGTGCAACTAATTTTTCTAAGACACAAAAAGCATATTTGACGAAAAAATTTGGGAACTGTTATTAAAATATAGATTTTTGAATATTTAAAATCTGGGGAAAAAGTTGAAAAACATGGTGGTTACGCCCCTTTTTCCCCAGTTTTGAAATATTCAAAAGTCTATTTTATTCTTATTCGAGTTCTTCCGTCATATATGCTCTTTGTGTCTTGGAAAAATAATTTGTGCAAATATCAACATTTTTTTTCCCTCCAGAACCTTGCTTGAAGAGTCGATTTTTTTTTAAACAACTACAGTAGAAGGAAGAAAACAGTATTGATATAGGAGTTAAACTGGAACTTGGGTTTGGAAGGCAAGCGTATTATCCACCAAGCGAAAGTTATTTTGGAATAAGATTCTTTGAATTTATAAACCAATGGACATAACCATCTCTTCTCAGTGGTTTTTCACTCCATAAAGCCATCCCACCCTCTGATAACTCTGTATACTGTAAACAGAGAATCATCTCCAAATTACATGCGTGTAAATTTAAGCTGGAAAATGTTTATAGATTAATTTAGCTCTTGTTTACTTTCATTAACGATTGTTTATATTAAATTTCTTGAAGACGATTAGTAGAATTTAATGGAAACCTGGAAGATATTCTCAACAACACAACTGTTTTTTTTTTGTTTTTTTTCATTACCATAATGTACCAATTTTATTGCAATACAAACACAAATAATATTTCGAAGAATTCAGACATATTGCATGATTAAGGTCAAAGGTTATTTAATTATGTCATCTCAGCATACTGTACATCATAGTAATTAATCCTCAGTAATATTTTTAATGTGTTCTGTCTACAGCATTTTGGTTTGATTTACATCTTTTTTTTTTATGTTCTTTGAGCTGGTTGAGATTTCTTCAATGCATCTCTCGCTCCATTTGTCATACTATTGTAAATATATCATTACCGTCTGTAGTAATTTGTTATTGTATTGAAAAGGAGAATTTAAATTGGTGGTTTTGGGTGAATTACTGTTATTTCTAATGGCACACTTAACAGAGTAATCGCATTCTCTTAAAGTAGATATTTAAACCTGTTGATTTAAATTTAAAGCAATAAACTACTGGCTAAGAAGTACATGACTTGAATTCAATTTTTAAAAATTGCAAACTAGCATTTGTTATTTATGGCCTAGGGTAATTTTGAAGCTAGTCATTCTTTCTCTACTTTAAACAAACCTTTTGGTTGCATTACTCCAAGAATCGAAAGTTTATACCAGCCAGGGGCAACTAAGATTAAAAGTAAAGATAGTCAAATTATACACTACTGTACTACGATTACTAGAATTTGTTAGCTTTGTGAACTTCCCTCTCGGACAGAATACTTTTTTTTTTAAAGAGTACTGTTTAAACATTCATCAACTTTGGGGGTGACTTTTAATACCCTGAAAATTCATCTCTTGACTTCCCTCATATACCTGGCGCCAACAAATTTACCTTTCCTGTTTAGGATCTTCAACAATGTTTACAATTATTCTGTAGTAAAGTACCAAGCTATGAAGCCTGACACTTTGAAATGGCTTGACAAGGGATCTGAAACTAATTTGAGATATATGATAATATTACTAGAGCTTCTGACAATTGTGTTCTACCTATTAATATTAAGACATGAAAAACCAATTTTTGTAATTAGTAAAATGCCATTTTTAAAGGGTCATTCTATTGACCTACTGTACTGTATATATTTGTATACTTTCAAAACAATGAAAAAAAAAATATTTGTTGCAAAAACTGGATATTAATGAATTAAATAAATCCATTAGTAAAATGTTCTACAAAAATGTTGATTTAAAAATACTGTATAGACCCTACTTTCTGCCAAAAAACCTCAAAAAGTCAATCCAATTTTTGTATAGCTCATTTATTACGATTAAGTTCAGGGGCTGATTTAGGGGAGGGGGAAGGCTGACTGGCATCCTTCCCCCTTTTGATAGGTAAAAAAAAACATGGAAAAAAAGAAAGAAAGAAAAAGAAAAAAATTTTGCTGGGTGTGCCCCCTAGGGTGATATTATCTGGATCTGCCCCATTTTCGCCCTCTCACCCCTTTTTGAACATCTCTGGATCCACCCCCTAAAGTTATTAATTTCATACCAGAAACAGATTTTAAAAAAAGTATTTTTTACTGATGATTAACAGAACTTTTATTACAAGAATATTTTAATTGATTACCACAGCCAATTTACCGTATTGTAATTTTTAGAAATTGACTATCTTAATTTTGAACAGCACATACAACAAACCATGTAGTGTGCACTATTTAAGTCTCCAACCATTACCATGTGAATGTTGTACTATATTAATGTTTGATGCAGAAATAAATAAATATAATGAATATAGTATTATTTATACTGTAGATCACTATCAGCTACAGTATGACTGAGATGTTTACTGTGCTGTTGGTCCTGTGTGCAATATGGCCCTACTGTATATGCATTATAAGTACAGTACACTCTTCGGAAAACAGCATGTGTTTCTCTTATATTTTTTTTTTATCGCATTATTATGCACTATATCGCATCAAATTACAATAATCAATACATTCAGTTTACTGCTCAATTCACCACCAGAAGGTTTTTCTGACTTTCTTTTTAAAATTGAGTTATATAGTATTGACTAAAAGTGTCCTATAATATTCACATAATTTTGTTTAAAATAATATCTCTGAGTTGAATTGCTTTGATCTTGGAAACGATTGTGTAAAACTATTGGATAATATCTTGATTTACAAACCAATTGACATTCATTGAGAGTAGCATTCTGGGATTGCAATATAACAATGTATCTAATAACTTTTGACCAATTCATGATTATTTTCCTATTGTATTTGCGTTCTTTGTTGTATTTATATTGTTGTGGTTTTGCCATTAGTTCAAAGCTCCATTCTACTACATTTTACGTCATATTGTATGCTATGTTGTTCACCATTTAGTAATATTTTATCTAAATCTACTTGTTGATGCTTTCAATTAAAAAGCTTACTATGGAATTTGGCTGCATGCATTTCAAATACAATTGGTCACAAACGGATGTTCCTCTGACTTGTGTCGCTTTTTAAAAATGAAAAAAAAAAAATTGAGATAACTATTAGGTTCTAAACAGGGAATATTATATTAAGCTCAGAAATGTTATTGAAGTCTGTAATTCCTCCCTGAAAAGTATGTGAACGTTCCCCTAAATCCAATCTTTTCAGCCCAGGGCTGCCATTTGCGTCATATCAAATACAATCAGTCACAAACGGATGTGGCTCTAGTTTGAGTTACAACATGTTTAAAAAAAATGATTGAAATAACTATGTAGATTGTAAACAGGAAATAATTATATTAAGCTCAAAAATGTTTTTGAAGACTCTAATGCCTATTGATACTGTATGTGAGCATTACCCTAAAGAGAATTTATTTATTTTAAACTCTGTATTGAATTTCCTAATCTTTAATGCTAAATTTTAATTGAATTTTTAAAGATTTACAAAAATACTGTATGTGTAATGATTCCACTATGAAATTTAATTTCTGTTTTGTTTTCAGGTACGGGCGGAATGCACAACCGTTTGTAAGAGGCAGACAAGGTGAACATTCCAATACTTCTTCATTTTTCCGTAAAAAGAAAAAAGCAAAAGGAGGTGGAATTGGTGGATCAAATTTGAGTAGATCTGAGGTAAATAATTTGGTTATAAACCTAAAGCTTGTGTAGCGCCACTCTTCTCCCCATCCCCCCCCCCCTTTTCTCTCTTGCCTCGCACCTGGGAGTTTTAGTAAATAGTAAATCACCTGTATAAATCATTGAAATTTTCAAACTGTGTTTGATCTGTGAGTTGAATGTTTATAAGTTATGTGATTCTTTTGTATGGAAAATTCAAAATATTTGTAGTTTTTGGCTGGCAATTTATTATATACAGTACCTTTAAAATATACTTAATGTGGTGGCATACCTAGGAAACTTAATTTGCTGATTGGGACCTGAAGGCGAAAGTGTAAGCACAATAGTAGCTGGGGTATGATGTGATATGACATCATTTTTAACTACTCGAATCCTACAGTATCTTTTTTCCAGCAACTTGTCATTGGGAGGTTCATTGAAAGCAAATGATTTTAGGATGACAATCACCACATGCCACCCTCTCCCTATAATGCGCCACAATCCTTCCTCTCCCCTAAATGCACCACTGGATCTGGCAGATTTTCTTGCATTGCGTTGCAGTTGTCTACACTGGAGGTCGAGTAGGAAAATACCAATTGGAAATCCTATTGTTTAGTACAATGCATAGAAAGCGTGTGATATTTATACCATAGAATGCCCTGTGTTAATCCGATATCAGTATCTAATTCAGCATAAATATTCCACATTTATTTTCAGTTTTTATTGATCAGTTATTTCCAGTAATTAACAGTTCAGCGAGGAAAGATGAAGCCACTTGCATCTTGCACTGTAGTACTGAAATTTAAATTATAGTTTGTAATCATAATTGTAAATTATTTTTTAATCAAGTGGAATAAACCATAGCAACCAAAAATTATCATTAAAACTGAAATATTTATTTCTAAAGTAATTTGTATTTATTATTAATTTAAATAACTTATAATTTTATTATTGTAGACCTAATGTTTGTAAATAAAAAGCTAGGTTGCCATCAAGTAGACAAACTTTTTAAGTTGAAAAATCATGTTTTTATATCAGTTTCTGCTAGTATACCCAGCTTATAATCACCAAATAAAAATCAACATTTAATAAACAAAACAAAGAATTGTATCTCTTTAACGTTCGTCAGCCGACTCAACTCTATGAGTATCGAACTCGACAACCCGCGTGCAACGGATTGCTTTTAATGACAATCTGTTCAGACTGCCACGGAAAATCAGTAGATGGCATTCTAGTCGTCTAGCGTGCACAGGGTACGGAGTTGGATTCCTTGTACGACCGTCATACAATGCAGTGATTGCCCAGCTTAGTGGTAAATAATATGATTAACAAAAAAGGTTTTAATATGATGATCTAATGCTACAAAAATGTTGAACAGGAAGTAAGTTGTATAATTTAGGGGCCAACCTACTGACAATAGATTCCATGTGCTATTTGATTGCGTTTGAAAAATGCTATTCAAATCTGTACTTTTTAATGTGATTATACTTAATTAGTATCAACAAAGACTCAGTAGCATTTCTAAGAGCTGAGTGTGAACAGTGAAGGGTGGAAATACAGTAGTAGGAAGGGGAATTGACATGCATTCCATTTTAAATGACTCTTAAGTTGAAACCACTCCGTCCACAGTATAATTTAAGTGTGAGTGTTGTAGAACCTACTAGACTAAATCCTGTTGGTTGAAGATAAAAATGTAAATCAGTGTGTTGTAAGAGCCCACATGTTTGCCATCCCATAATAGAATTGTTATGTTTTTGGTGAGACCAAGTAGTTTTCTGTATGACTTTAATTGTAACAGTGGTATGCCAGTAATTGGGTTCAGTTTGTCCACATCAAATAGGATCTGAATCGCACCATAGGGGAATAAGGGACTACTTGCTTACAAATTACCAAGCCTCCTGTAATTTTATACTGTTGTGTTGAAACCAGCCAATCACAGGAGACTTTCTCCACTTTTGATATCAGTTGCTATGTTTACAGTAGTTGAAGAGAGCAGATATCAAGGGGCTGGTATAATCTGAATAACATAATATTAATAGAAGGTTAATAGAACACACTTATACACGAGGACTTGCGAAGAACGTTTCTCCATTAGATAGAATCAAAAGCAAGTAAGTTTTAAATAATTAAACATCAGTACTGGACTGTCAGCTTTTAGCTTGGGAGGCCTTAAATTTGTATAATTTATTATATTAGGATTGTAAAAAGCATGCTAAAATATTGACAGATTTCAATAGGAAATTTGTAAGGTCTGTACGCAAAGCAAATAAACCCTTATTGAATGGTTGGTGGTAGTGTAAACTAATAGCATGGTCTTGTTTGTTAGCCAAAAAAGTATTCGTTGAAAGTTTATGTCTATTTATTCGATTTGCAGAATTCAAATTTTATGTTCTTAAAACGGTGGACGTGTATGTGCCGTTGAACATGGCGGCCAAAACTCTGCTGGATATGACATTGCATCGACTTTGGTTACAGCGAGTCATATTACAAATCAGAAATATCATATCATGTCTTCCTCATGCTATATTATTATGTTAATGTTTTAGTTTTTGAAAAACAAATTATCTTTGTATTGAATAAAATTATTAACTAAAAATTATTTATTTTATTGTATATCTAACAACGCAAGTCGCCACTGTGTTTGGGTAGGCTATTCAATGCAGTGCTTCAAATGCCCTGGCCTGGAAAATGATAACATTTTTGTAATTCAATAATTGATGGAATAACTGGCTTTATTATTTTCAGTTCATATTAATCATTGACTGCATTTGAACTCGGACACCTGTGGGGTTCTGGTTTTCAAATTAACAAAATATTTGATTTCTACAGAATGTGGGAATACATGCAGATGAAAATAATTGCAGTAAACCACAATTTTCAGTTGGTCATTACTATAAAACTTCTAGGATGAACTAAAAAAGAAGCATTGTAATAGGTTTCATCCAAATCTGATGGTTCCCCTCCCCTAAATGACAGTATTTTTAATATGAGGGTGATTATATATTTATTGAAAATTTTAAAAGTTATCATCTTGTACAATTACACAAAAGTGATTTAGTTAATTTATTAGTTCTTTGTGTAAACTGTGATAATAATTTTGTTTTTCAGTCTCATATTATGTGGGAGACGTTAATGGTGACAATAAATAGGGTAAGTAAACATAAAATTACTCCAGACAAACTAAAAAATATCCTTACATAATTAATGATTCTCTGTGTTGCGTGTTATCAACTCGATCTAAATCTGGTATTGTTATAAATTTATATGATCATAACAATTCTAAGGTTGGCTTTTATTTTGTTTGCAATTGTAATACTGTATTTTTTTAACTGGGGTGGGGCGGGAGGCGTCGAATATGTGCATGATTTACAATTTCCTTTACATAAAACCAGTTTGTGTACTTTTTTGGTGTAGACACATTTGCTAACTACCAGTTAGGATTGTTCAATAGTAAATGTGAAAACCAATGATTTTTTTTATCTTGTATGATATTTGAAAAGACAATTTCTCAAGGTACAGTATATGTTAAAAATGCAATACTTTTACAATAGATTTTAGCTCTGTGGTTCCCATTTTACCAATGAAAATACATAGAGCAAGTAGAGGTTAGTAGTAATCCCTGGGTTATATAGGATAAATAATAAATTCAGGACTGACCAACTCTATTGATTTTTCAATTGTGTCTGTGATTGGGCAACAGAATAGCGTATTGTTTGGCTTAATTATTAATTCTGCATACTACACTACAACATCAATGATGTTGATACATACTAGTGTGTTCCTTGGATATTTTATCTGTAAGTAATTAATGTTTGGAGTGCTTTTTTTTTTGGTTTTAGGAGAGTGGACTTGGATTTGGTATTGCTATTAGTGGTGGCAGGGATAACCCGCATTACATGACAGATGAAGATGCTATCGTCATCTCTGATGTTCTCGCACAAGGTCCTGCAGAACACCTTGTAAAGTAAGTCATATTTTTTTTAAATAAAAATAATATAAAATTTGCTTAGTGCACAGGCATAAAGGCCTCAGCGTGCTGCTAAGCAGCGCATCTTGCTCAATATCTCTTTGTGCATGCTACAAAACGAATAATATATACAGTATGTGATAAAAAAACTGATTACAATTTAAATGCTTTTTTAAAATATTTTTAATAGGAAAAGATAACTTATTTGTTGCTTTTTTTTTCTAGTTAATAGGTAAAAGTAAATCCTTATGGTGCCACTAGGGTTCATAAGGTGCTGGAGCGTATCCCTAGTTGCTGTAGCATGAAATGGATGAGTCCACTGCTGGTTAATTTCCCTAGCAATTTACTTGTACCCATTACTAGCTAGACTGAAGCAATGTAGATAGGTGTCTTGTGGAAGGAGATAGGTGAACTGCACCTAGAGAAGGATTGAAACCTGCACCAAACTGGCTAATATGCCTTGATTTTGTTGGTTGTTTTCAGGGTGAATGACCGAGTTTTGGCTGTCAATAACAAAAGCATGGAAGGAGCTGAACATGATGAAGCTATCAATGCACTAAAGGAAAGTGGAAACTCCGTAACATTGGTAAGCTCCTGTCACTAATGCTGAGAGTTGGGGTTGGCTGGGTCTTGTTCCCATAGGACTAAGAAATTATTTTTTTTCCTCAAGAGAAAATCTCTACAGTATAAAATATATGAGCATCTAAGAAACACTACTATTATAGAGTGCAACATTTAAAAGTTCATGAACCTGCCAGTTGACATGAAGGGGTAAACAGTTAATCTTCAATAATGTCCAAAAACAATCTCAAGTTTCTGTCTCTGACACCATCAATAAGAATGATAAATCGATGCTGAAGCCATCAACATTAGGCTTTCGTCAATGTAGACTTCCACTTTGTGAGAGAAACTTCCAATTTCATGCCAAGTAATGGAATCCACACCATTTGAAATTTGGGAAATTTATTCTAAATTATGTAAGATAAATTGTAGGCAGCATGTCCACACAAGATTGCTTTTCCTGTAAATTTGGTATACTTAATCGCATTATCTTTTATTCCTCTCTGAGAGAAGGATATGTCCCTCAAATATGGAAAGCTGTTTGTGATTTGAATAAATTAAAATTGAAATAAATTTGATGTAGTCATCTTTATGTTAATTATTTGACAAATATTATACATGTATTTAATATCATATAATTATATAACAACATTTGTTATAATTTATGCTATTGTATAACATGTAACGGTACATAAGTGTATGAAATTCAATTTACCTTTTAAAAGCACATAAAACGGCCATTGGTGGATGGACTGACAAGAACAGACGGAGGTCGCTCCAATATTCAGAGTGTCCAGCTCTATAAAGAAGGCAATGGTTATGGGATGAAGCTTGGTATCAAATTGTACATTGAAGATATGAGTCCAACGGGCAGCGCGGCTAAGTCAGGACTAACAAGTGGCGACAACATTGTGGCGGTAGGTCTATGATATTTGTGACGTAATAAACATATTCCCATCAGCTCATTAGCATAACAAAGGGTATTGCGGCCCCAGCTAAGGCCTACTTCGGGTCCTACTAATCTGGGGGCTGGGTCTGGGTGCGGCTAGTGACGTACAGGTAGAAGCCCTGCCCGCTTCGGCATTTTGATGTTTAAGGTGTATTTTGATGTTTTTCTTATACGTTTGGCCTTTCTGGGGAAAAAAGTGCTGATGATGTGACCTGCTCTGGCAAAACCAGCCATTTGTAGGAAAAATTAGGCCAAAAAAACAATATACTTGTTTAGCGTCATACCTCAGAAGGGGCGGGGGGAGGGGCGGTTTTTTTTTTTTTTCTTTTTTCTGGCCTAGCTGCATTGGTGCCAAGCCAAATCTTTGACAAAGGCCATAACAGACACTAAATTTTACATAAAAGATTTGTACAATATTTATTTTAATAGGCATTGTGGTTCCGTAGGCTAACTGCTGCAGTGCTAGGCTAGGCCAGGTAGGCGTAGCCATACTAGGCCTAAGCCTAGTAAGTAATAGTACTTAGGCATAGGCCTAGGCCTAAAACATCTGCCAATTGAAGCATAGGTCATATTATTTGTCTTCATAATACTTTATTATCATATTTAAAACATTATTATTTAAAAAGAACCAAATAAAAACATGTATGCCTACTCTGAGACAACTACACACGTGAATAGTTGTCTCAGGCCTACTAAACTACCGCGATTTCTGTCAACAAGCACAGGTGAGGAAATCGATTTTTTTTTCACAGAAAAAAACACACTTGTAATATTGGTGGCGCACTTCACATCTTGTTCCCTGTGCTGAAAATGAAAAAAACGATCGTTTTTCCTCTATTATCAGCATTTTTTAGTCTATTTTCATCACTTTTTTTACAAAAAAAAAAAAATGAGAGACGGCCAGAAAATCAGGGTCGGGCAGTGACGCTAAACAAGTATATATATTTTTTTGGCCTTAAGTTTGTGGTATTTTTAGGTTCTGCATGAATTCTTCTTTAAAGCATTGTTTATTTGGTTGAGTAATTCACAAAGTTATGAATATTTATTTCATTAGATATCAGCCATGTAGGTTTTGAGAAAACAGCTTCCATAGACACCAAAATCAATAGTTTATTGTGAAGATTTGTATTTGAAAAATAATTTTAATATACTTTTTTAGATAGATTTTTTGATTGATATTTTGTAGAAATGCTCTTCAATATGCCTTCTTTTATAATGCAAGAACCTGAATATGTTCCAAATTCTGATTCTCAAACATTTTGAGTACTTGTGCGAAATTAGAAATTAAGGCAAACGGCTGGTTTTGACCAGAGCCGATCACGTATCCCGAGGGCCCTTAAGGTCTTGGTCACCCTGCCTTAACCAGTGAGAGTTAATAGCTGTTACACTACTTAGAAGACATTTTAACAAACCACATGAAATACTCTGAAATTGTTGGAAAACACATTCCAAACATGTATACATTTTTATAAGCACAATGTTTTTCGCATTTTTTGGTGCAGCCACCTCCTTTCCCCTTACACATGTTACTCAAACTTGTTAAGTGCCTGTACAGTGAAGTTGAAAATATAATATTTTAATGTAGAACACAGAATTTACTGAAAAATAATGGAATTTTGTTTACTATTTCTCCAAATTCCTAATTTATGCTTCAAGGTCTTGATATCCACATGTCATCTTAACAAATAGTAACATGTGACATGCCTTAATATGGTCATGATGACATCACATCATGACCATATATAGGCACATCATAACTATATATGGGCATACAATAGTTTAAAATAAATAATAAAAGAAAATGTTATACTATACTATGGACAGAGCTTAACAGTAGGTACTCAACTTGAAAGTTGAATATGTTACTTTGCAGATTAATGGAATGCCAATTGAAGCTATGAGTTTGCCTGATGCCAAGAAAATTATCCAGACGTCTCGTGGATCACTGTTGTTGGATATCAAGAAGGAGCCTAAGAAAAGGGAAAAGCCTGTGGAAGAGAAACCTAATCTTTTCAAGCCCAAGTCTGAAGAAATTTTAAATGAGTAAGTTGTTTAATTTTTTTTTTTTTTATTGTTTATATTTCTTTTCACATCCAATTAACATCCAAAAGTTAAATATAGAACAATATGTTCTGTAAATGATAAACTCCCATTTTGATGCTTAGTGGAATTATTTATCATGATTTATGTTCTGTCCACACTATCAAATTTTTTTGTATGTCCATATATAGTCATGATGTTCCTATATATGGTCATGATGTTCCTATATATGGATGTCATCATGACCATATTTAGGCATGTCACATGTCTTTGTCAAAGAAAACTTGAGAGTCTGGACAGGGCTTAAGGATATTATTTTGGTGTTGTCATAGGATTTGAACCCTAGAATCTAAGAATAGAAAGTTTGCACCAAGCTACTGTCCCACTCCTACATATTCTGAAAATTTAACGATGACAACGATGAGAGTAGCTTAGCTCAGTCGGCTAATCTGTTGGTAGCCACTGTGTGTGTGCTGAACTGTGGAGATCTCTAGGTCCCCTGTTTAATTCCCATCGCTCAGGGCCGGATTAACGGGCTGTGTGGCCTTAAGCCAGGCCAGGCTCTACCAGCAATGGACTTGTGGCTGAACTACGGACAAATTCGTCGCTGACGGATTATGTGCCAGACATTCGTATGCCTTGCATATGACTGATTTCATTGCATTTAATTTCAGCCTGCCTGAACCTCCTATCATGAGTCCACCACCTGGCGAGGACCCTACGGATAGAAGGCATTCAATCGAAGACCATGGTCTGCCTCCCCCTCCTCCTGACACTCCAGAAACTGAACTTGACATTGCACCGCCAAGACCGCCTCCGCCAGGTAATATGATGTTTAGTGTATTGTTATAAAATTTATAATGTACTGTTAAATCTTTGTTTCAGTGATGGTTTATTATCATCATGGTCAATTTTATATTATTATTATTATTATTATTATTATAATTATTATTATTATTATCATTTCTATTTATTATTAGAAGTGAAAGTGAATATCATTATGTTATTTTCATTGACTGTTTGTGGTGGTTCTTTTCAAATTTGTTTTCAGCTTATTAATTACTTTATTATCATTAGCCAATTATGCTTTACAATTCATTTTTTGATACACAACCTATAAACATGTCCATGTAAGTTTTCTACAGTAGACCTAAATGATGTAGATTTTATGCAGAATGGAATAAGTGCTTCTGATCATACCATTATATATATACTTAGGCAGAGGAAAACAATTTGCATATCAATATTTTTTTGCCAGGAGGAAGATGGGTGTACAAGTGGCAGTTGCGTACCTATCGTCCAAAGAGGGCGGTGGGGACCAAACGGTCCAAAGGAGCAGTTTGGGGTGTTCCATTACCTATGTCAAGGTGCATTAAGCCCCATGAAGCCTCACAGCTTCAACTAATTTTCTTACTTCGTTAGAAATCTACTGGCTGCTGCCAGTTAGAGAGGCGGGGTTTGAGCGCCCCTTTTCACCACGTGCTAGATCTGCCACTGGTTCAATAGTACAATTTTCAAGGGATGGTTCTTCCAGTACGCTCTGCTGATGATGTGCTCATGTAGCTAATTTCAGTTATACTTAACACATGCATCATACCCTATGGCCGTAAAACGAGGACCCATGTGAAGAAACTAATACCATGATAAGAATTGAGTAAACTGCATATTGTCCGTTGTCTTCCACAGAAGGCTAATCTATAAGAAAAAGGTAATTTGATTGTCTGTGCCCAAGTGGATGGACAGTATGCTTGTCGTCTGCCACGAGATGTGTGAATACGAGAGAATGACAATGAACTTAACCATGTTTTGTGATATTTGCTTACTACTATAACTGTTTCCTTAGCATGAATGAATGATGATTCTAGGCATAAGGATTGCATATGTTCCATAAAATTGTGTGAAATCATGCTCTGTTTATTTATTTTTTTTTTTTATTCTCGTTTTTCCCCCTATTACTAAATGAAATCTATTTTCAATGTGAAGGTAGTAATTTGTATATATAGCATCAGCTGCCTGCTGCCTGATTTGCTTGAGGCTTATATTAATTTTTTTTTGAATGATTATTTTCTCCTGAATATAGTACAGTATTTATGTTTTTCCCAATACTTTTAAAATATTATCAGGTACTACTTGATTTAAGCACCATATCTTTTATGAATGTTAGTATTTTTGTTTGAAATAATAGAGAATATATTATTCATGTTGATTTTCTTATAATAATATAAGAATGTTATTTTTATTTGAAGTAATGATGAACAATTGCTATTATGTAAGTTATTATAATAGCAATTGACCTATCAGTGCTGTGTAGCTGCCCTAAATCTTTTTCTAATTAAATTTTTAATTTTATGAATAATAATTTTAAAATAATTAAATAAGACAAAATAAATGATAATTATTAATTAAAAGCAATATTAATAAATTGTTATTTTTATCTAATATGCAGAATGCATTCCTAATGCAAATAATTTTATAAATCTTTCTATGTATTATAATAAATTTATGAGATTAATAATTTTTGAATTAAATTATATACAAGAATGACTTCAAATGATGCATTGATCAAAATTTTATTATAGTTTGTGTACTTTGTTACTGGCATTTTAAAATATTACAATTTAACTAAAAACTTCAAATTGAGTGTAATGTCAAATAATATGTAGTAGGGAAATATTGCTCTACCTTCTGGGAATCACACTTGTGTAAATGTAACTAAATTTTATAAATTTGTCTTTCAGATCATCACAACGGTATGGATGGGAGTTACCTTCCAGATGAACCTATTTTAAGGTACTGTATGTGTTAAAAACCAAATTTGGCAAGATTTTTTTTTATACCTTGTTTTGTGAACTGCCACTTGCCAATAATGATAATTTTGAATAATAAGAAAAATTTATTTTTGGCCATTTAAAGCATCACAATAATTTTGTATTTATTTAAAAAAAATTTAAAACATTTATCAATCTTATTATTAGACCGTTTACCCCCTTTAAACAGGGCTAGAAAAAGTGCCCGACCGCATGACTGATAGTAGAAGGTACCTTCAGGCATTTTTCTCCAGACTACTGTCTTTTTCTCTCCAGTCCTAGCTTTAAATGTGTATACTTTCTTATAAACTTAGTCAAGTTGATCCACCTCAAATGTCAACACCACCACCCCCCGGGGAATCAAGAGTACAGGATACCTATATTGAAAATTCCTATGGGAGAAGAGATCGTCAGCCTAGCTACGAGCCCCCAGCTGTTACACCTGGCTCAGAAGAGAGACAAGTTTCCTTCATCAAAGGGAAAAGCATAGGCCTGCAGTTGGTCGGTGGCAACGCAACTGGAATCTTCGTGGCAGCCATGCAACCTGGAAGTGCTGCTGAAAAGGCTGGTGTACATGAAGGTGACCAGATCTTGCAGGTGAATGATGTCAGTCTGCTTGGCATGACTAAGGAGGATGCTGTGCTCATGCTCCTTAGTCTTGTGAATGAGATCAGGCTGGTCTGCCGTTACGATAAGAGGAGTAAGTTTTAACATTCATATTTGGTGCTGTTGTTCCACTAGGTGAATTATGTCACCTAGTTAATTTGCCTAACAATTGAAACGCTTTCACTTTTTCACTTGCGTTGGATCATTGAGGAATTAGTGTAAACTAATTCCTCCATGGTTGGATAGTATTGGGATGTAAAGTGCTCTGTATTATACTGTACATGACTAAAGAAAGTCATACCTAATGAGGTTATTTTCGCCATAGCATAGTCTGAATATGTGTATACATTTTTAAATGGCAGAATAATAAAAATTATAGTTTTACCTATTTTGTATTTAAAGTAGTAATAAAATATATATATTATTGTAATCATTACAAAATTGCTGTGAGAGCGAGTAAGCATTCTAGCAACTAATAACTGCCTAATAATAAAAGTGAATAGTAATGATAATGATATTCATTGTATTCGGTTTTGTATCGCATTTGGCCTCAAGCCGATTTACATAATTACCCTAGTATTTGGCACGAATACCAAATGAAAATTTGGTACTTAAATTTCCGTTTTTTTTTTTTTATCGTTACTATTATGGTACTGTTACAGTGTGTGATGAGGTAATGCAGTCTGGTAAAGGTGATGATTTTTATGTGCGAACGCATTTCAACTACGAAGGCCAGAGACCTGAAGAGATAACATTCTTCAAAAACAACATATTCCGTGTGATCGATACAATGTATGAAGGTATGGTAGGCTGGTGGTATGTTCTAAAGATTGGACATGACGAACATGAAGAAGCTCGTGGAATTATTCCTAACAACAGTCGGTAAGAAATGCTTGTTTTCTTCATTTTTTTGTGTATCTTTTCTATGTAGTGGATCTTGGATTGTACTGGATAAACCGATTAATTATATTGATTGTACCAGTACTCCTAAAAAAAAAATGTAACTACTGTACTTTGAAAACGATTTATTTTAGTGGCTTTGATCGTCTCAAGCTTCTGTTTCCTATCCTAGCCTATCCTATGCTTATTTTATTTATTTCAAATAGTGTTATATGATTACAATTTTGACACCTATTTTTTATTATTAATAATACTTTTTAGTTTTTTACATCAATAATGGAACAGTGTTCTATGGATTAGTATTAATTAAATTGATTTTCACAGAGCTGAGCAACTAGCCTTGTCGCAGCCACCTGATTACTACATGAAGCCACAGACAACAGACGGAAGAAGTAGTTTCTTCAAGCGCCGTCGCAAATCATTCCGCAGCACAAAGAACCTCATCAAGGACCAATGGGACAGAGTTGTTTTCGGTAAGTCCGACTACAGATCCAGAGTCTGGGTTTATCAAACTAGAAATCAGCTTAAATCGTCTGAAGTCCATTTTTTCGCTAAAGTCAAATTTATCAGTATTGCTTAGCTTAAAAATTTGCTTAAATTTTAAAAGTCAATTGTACGCATGCGCCATCTAAGACGATTTTTAAGCTAAGGTTTTGCTAAAATGGTTTAATAAATCTGCTTAAGATATTTTTTACTTCTTGTGGAAGGGCGCCATGAGCGTTTTCTTTAAACGGATACCGGCGCTTTAAAAGTTTTCATTATTATTATTATTTGCTTAGGGACATCTTAACTTTTTTGACTTAAGACCTTTGCTAAGGTGTGATTAATAAATTCTGGACCTGGAGTTCAGCATAATATTATAGGATAGAATTATATTCTTTATTATATTTTTATCTAACAGTATATAAGGTTTTTTTGTTTTCTTTTTTTGCTTTAATATTTTCAATTTTATTTATTCATTAGGAGGAACACCACCTAAATTCCCACCATATGAACGAGTTGCACTCAAAGATCGTAAGTAAATTTTCTTCAATATTCAAGGAGGTTTTCTGTTAATTAATTTGTTACTGTTAATATTAATGTGTTTTAAATTATTTTATTGGTTTTCTTCATCATTATATGATCATCATTATTATTATTATACAGTTGAACTTTCCTAAGTCGAATCCACAATGCCTTAGGCCTTTGGTGGTAAAGTTACTTGCTTACAATAGTCTTGTTGCCACAGGCCGCTGTTCTATCACTAAAACCTGAAAGGATTTTCATTTAAAATGATGTGTTGTGCAGGCCTTGTCCTCCTACGTCCTTCATGAAATCCTGTTTTTTCCGCGACTGTTAGCGCATTGTGTTTGTCTAGCTTAATATAGCAAAGCAACCAGCAATTTAATTCAATGTACTTTGTTTTAGCCGAGTTTGTTCGCCCAGTCGTCATTTTTGGACCTCTTGCTGATATCGCCCGGGAGAAGTTGCTCGCTGATTATGATGACAAGTTTGATTCACCTTGTATGTATAACATTTTTTTCCCTGTTTAAGTTTATTATAATGGACCTTTGGATAGTGTCAATTAAACTAATTTAAATGTGCTATTCAATAAAGGGGGCCAGAATTATGGGCAAGTGCTAGGATCCACACTTGGCCATCATTCAATATAAATGGCTGTCATGTTTTGGGACCTTGGCAATAATATTCAAGGGGGCGGGTCATTTTGGAATGGTTCATTCTTAATATAGTATTGAACATCTCACTCATTTAGTCAGTAGATAGAATACAATGATATGTTTATATAACAATTTTGATTAGTTGGTTATTTTATTATTATTATTATTATTATTATTATTATTGTTGTTGTTATTGTTGTTGTTATCATTAATATTGATTCAATTTCAGTTATGGCTTTTAAATTCATTTAAAAATGGTGTTTAGCAGTATAAATGGAGAAATCATGATACTGAACTCATGAAAAAGCATATATATTTCTAAAAGAACACAAGTGCAAAAATATTCGGAATTTAACACATCTCTTGTCATGTTGCTTTATTCAAAATCAGAATAAAAGGAATGAACTGACCTTCATTGTGTTTCTTGGTACATGTTTTATGGTATAAATAATTCCATTAAATTTACTGAGTATTCTTTTTTTTCTCTGCTTTTCTGGAAAGTAATTCATCGTCCAATTCCTGGAAAAGGTAGCTAACATTGTGGTTGCAGTTTTAACAGTTGATGGTTAATTTTATGTAGCTTATAAAGGATGCAGCATTTAATTCTTTGATATGCTCCACTATCTGCATCCATGTTAATGAAGTATTACTGTACTATTTTTGAAACATCAAATATAAAGACTAATATTTCTTGATTTTGTTATCAGTAATTTGGTTTGAAATATTAAGGCTTCTTCATTGTATGTGTGTGTTTACAATTAGGCGATCTGTGTAAACATGTTATTTAGGGGCGGATTTAGAGGTGGGAGTGCCGGGCAGGATTCGGCCCCCCCTTTTGGAAATTTGAAAAATAAAAAGAAGAAAAGAGAAAGAAAATAAATGAAAAAAAATTGATCAACCAAAAGGCCTCAGAGGTTATTTTCGGACGTCTAGAACACAGAAATTTCGCGGGGGGCATGCCCCCCAGACCCCTAGGGTATTGTTATCTTGATCAGACCCCCCCCCCCCTACCTTTTGGACATCTCTGGATCCACCCCTGTTATGTTTTTTAAGCTCTGTCCAGATTATCAAATTTTCTTCAACAAGAGATTCTTGTATATCCGTATTTAGTCATGAGGTGCCTATATATGGTCATGGTGTGATGTCATCATGACCATATTTAGGCTTGCCGCATAGAGTTTGATAGTGTGGACTGGGCATTTTCAATACTGTACATTTACTATGGGTTTGTTTGTATTACTTCTGAAAGCAATGTATGCTGAAAAGCTAGCTTTCATGTTTTAATGCTATTTTTGTTTACACAATTGGTGCATTTAAATCTCTGCCCACACTTTAAAGTTTGTGTGGTTTGCCTATATGGGCATGATGGTTTCATGTAACACCCATATAAGTGCATGTTGATGTCAAATAATAATAATAACAATAATAATAATTACATTACATAATTACTTGCATTATTATTATTATTATTAAGTCATATAAGCGCATAATACAATAAAATTGCTTCTATGCGCTTTACATGAACAAAAAGAAAGTAACCATGAAATATAATGCTACATGGAAATCAAAGAAAGAAAGAAAAGAATGAATATATATATATATATATATATCTGTCTCTTATACACATCTAGATGTGTATAAGAGACAGGTACTGTCTTACAAAGCTCTCTGTATGGTTTGAACTGCAGACTATCAACAGATAGTTGCTGATACTCAGATATAAATCATGGCCAAGCTTGCTTTAGGCTACAGTCACACTACAGCCTCGAGCTTGTCTTGACTCAGTGTGGTTGAGAAATTTGTTGTCTGAACCAACCTGGATTGACTCATGCCTGAGTTGAAATTTGCTGTTAACCCAGACAGCTCAACCCAGGAAGGGTGTCCAGGTTGACCCTGGGTTGACATAGAATTCCAAAATATGACTGATCACAGCTGGCAGTACAATGTTTATATGCTCAAGGATTTCTACTAACTGATAAAGGTCAACCCAGGTAAGTGTGGACACTGGACATTTTCATGCCAGGTATGAGATCTGAACCATACTGAGTCAACTCAGGCTTGAGGTTCTAGTGTGACCGTAGCCTTATTGAATCAGAACTTAAACCATGTCCTCCCAAAATGTTCACAAACATAAAGACAACTTTATGTAGTTTTTTCCTTGTAAGTTGAATCTAGGAAACAGAAAGACAGATAATCATTGTCTTGCTTCAACATAAAAGAAAAAAAAGCTAAACAATATAAGTCTTGAAACCAGATGAATTTTTCAATTTCAGAAACTGCAATCAAAATATGCAATGCTTATTAGGCCCAATAAACAAATTAATTTACATGTCTTATATTATGGTATTTTAAAAAAATAGCATTTTAATTTTTATTTTGTTTTCTTTGCTTTTTTTCATATTTTTAGTAAATAGTGTATTTGTAATAATGTTACCACAAATTATTATATCCTTTTTATATTATGATGAACTATTGGTTATTACCTGGTATAGGATATTATATTATTAATTTTTCTTACTTTTAAATTTGTGTTCAGAATATAATGTATTCATTAATAATTTGTAAGATATTATATATTCTATGTGTTTTCACATGCATATAGACCATTATGGATATGTTTGTGTTAGTGCATTTGAATGAATACTTTATACTATGGGCATGACATCAGATGAGTGAGCATCAGAATGTGTGTGTATGTGTAATGTAGTTGGGTCTGGTATTAGTTGGTAGTGCAACATCAGGTACAAGTTATCAAATGGGTTTTTGAGCATGTTTTGTGGGTGATGGAGTACTGGGTGGGTCTTTATTGCATTTCCTTAATGATGTCCTATTTAAAGCTCTGTCAACACTTTCAAATTTTATGTGACGAGTTTGTGTGATGTGCCCATTTATGGGCACAATATGTCCTATTACATCCAATTATGTGCATATCACATATATTTTTCACATAAAATTTGATAGGATGGACATAACTTAAGGCCTTAATACTTACCTATCTCTACAACACTGGCATTCAGTATCCTCCTGCTAACAAATCTAAGGTCTAACTTTTCCTTTCTTGGGTGGGGTAGTACACTCTATGTGGATAGATTAGAATGGTATCTAATAGGTGATTAAGCATGAAAATCTACCAATTCATGAAATATTTATTTAACTCCATGTGGTGTTTAATTGTTGGTATATTTTTGTCGTTCTCTAGACAATCCAGGCGAAGGGGAAGGCGAATCGCAAGGAACCATCAAAGTGCATGCTATTCGAGAAATCATGGGCAAGGTAATTTTTTTTATAGTGTAATAGCAGGGGTCCCAAGTTGGAAGAAACCACTTCCATGAGATATAGTTAATGTGCTTTCTTAACACATCCAGGGTTCGAATTTCCCCACAGCACCATCAGCAGTTGCTGTAGAAAGGGCCTTCCACTGCTGTTGTTAATCCCAGGCTCGACAGCAAGCTTTTTGCGGTTGAGTTACCTGATCGAGGCCAGCAATGGATTATATACATTTAAGAATAGGCCTATTCTTTAAACAATTTATGAAGCTTGTTGCTGTAGAAGAGAATAAATTGCTTTGGTAAAGTCATTGCTCACAGCAACTATTTGCTGGTGAAGCATTTTCAGGAAATTTGAACCCTGACATCTAACTTTATTTTGCTGTGTGTGTACCTATCACCAGCTGACTTTGAGAGACATAATTGGAAATACAATAGTAGGCACAAGTAAATATAATGAATTTGCAGGAGATGTGTTAATTACTAGCAAGTTTTTGTGGCGACATCTTGATTTCTTAGCTAGTCACAGGAGATTTGTGACTTGTGATAATAAAATTCAATATTTATTGTATTAACAACAATTAAAGAAAAAGCCACATGTATTACCACAGACCACAATGTAACCACAAACAGCCACAGGAGCTACCACAAGCCACAAATATAAATAAGCATGTCCAAAGTCTATCAGTGTGTGAGCCCAAAGTACAATGTATTCAAAATTTTGAATTGCCTTTTAACATTTGGCCTTCCTGTTCGACCTTTGCATTTGTATTATGTGCCTCATTTGATCAGATAAATAGCAGTTGAAATTTGTATGAACTTCCTTCTTATTTTGTTTTTATTAATTTTATAACTATTTAAATTTATTAATATTACCATTTTTTTTATTAAACTCTATATATTAATAGAAAATATAAAAAATATAAAAATTAAAAGAGAGAAGAAAAATAATATAAACTTTACCAGGCAATATAGGTAAGGCTGTTGTATAATGTTTTTTCTTGTTTTATTTTTTATTAATATTATTTTAATTACCGTATATTCTTTTGTATAATTTGAGACTTAAAACAGCAAATTACGATTGGAAAACGGGGGTCATCTTATATGCAAAACATATACAATTTTAAAATTTTTAATTCATGTTTGTCTTGTATGCGGATCATCTGTAACACGCAAATTTACTACTGAAATGAAGCTCCTAACTGTTAAGAATGAATGCATCTTTAAATGCAGGGAAATAAGCTTTTGGTGAACATTTATTAGCCCATAAGATGGTATTATCTGGAAGATTAGCCATACATTTGGCTCCGTTTTTAACCAGCTAGATACAGTATCATAACCATAAAGAGCAGTAAAATGTAGGAATTCCGACGGTGAAACGGGTGTTTTTTCCCTTGCATGGCGGATATATAAAATCGCCTGACTAAATGAATATACCTGTATAAGCAATATAACTGAAATCATAAAAAGCACAGCAAATGTTTCTGAAAGATAAGTGAATAATTGGGATCAAACTTCATCTCTATTACAGCCTCCACATTCTCAGTAATTCAAATTTTAAAAAATATCTCTCTTTTTCTTTTAGGGCAAGCACTGCATTCTGGATATTACACCAAACGCTGTTGAGCGTCTCAACTTCGCACAGTTCTACCCCATTGTTATATTCTTACGACCAGACAACCGTGCAACTGTCAAGCAGTTACGTGGAAAACATCTTGATCCGGAACAAAACCGTGGTTCACGTAAATTGACGCAAACTGCCAAGAACCTCAACAAAGTTTTTGTGCATATTTTTAGTGGTAAGTGAAGAACTAAAGCCTGGTTTCCATAAAATTGCTACAGTGTCACTATAGCATTTTCACCGCAATTATTACACTGTAGCCTGTCCCCGAGGCAATCAGGAAAGCTCCCAAATCAGCATGGCAAATGCTATCAGCAATGTGTAGAAATATTATGGAAACCAACTTTACATGCAAAAGATCACTGAAGTTGATTATCAAAATCACATAACATCTTACTTCAAGAGATCGTACAGCTGTGTAACATCATCCACTGTACTCATGGTCAAAGTGTATTTCATTTAAAAAGATTAAGGCTTTAAAAGTGCCCTTTTTAAACATCATAATTTAGTCTCAAAGTCATAAAAGATTATTTTTCTTTAAAAAAAAAGCCAACCTTAGGTTTTTAAAATTTTGGGTCGGTCGGACTTGTGCAAGACACCACTTTTTTTTTATATCAGCCTAATGTAGCCTTTCAAAGTTAATCATCACTTTTCCATTTTACTTCAAATTTAGGTATTTTACATGGTTTTATATTTATGATTTTAATTACTTGTAGACACTGTTCGTCTTGGACCAGATGTTCCATGGTTCTCACTAACACATGATGCAATCCTCAAACAACAAAATAAACCAATATGGATGTCTGATGTCAGTGTAAGCACATTTTTCGTATACTGTTTTTATAACATTATATTAACTTAAATATTAAAATAAAAAATGTGTGCTATTGAAATAGAACATATTCATTCTTTTGAATATCAATCATCGTAAGTGGAGCAAAGAAATATAGACCACTGCAAAAAAATGGTCTTCGGAGTAGCATCTCAATATACTGAACTACCTATTTAAACATATTGCTTATATTATAGAAATTGTAACAACATTTTAGTTGTCAGGTGTTCTTAAAGTTTTGTCAGTTGATAAATAGATAACATATTATGAAAATAGTGAAAATATAAAACTTGATAGTCTTTGGTCTATTTTTTTTCCCATCATATTTTAATTAAAGATTTTTGTCCAAGTTTTTTCCTCTTTCCTTATGTACATACTTATTATACAAATAATGATACCATTGACCAAAAAATTATTCAATCAGATTTAAAATGGTAAGTCAAAATCAGAGCTGTACTCACTAGCCAGAGTGCCTATATATATCTGTTGTGTTTTACATTTTAGGTTCCTAAAGAGGAACAAGAACCAGAATTACCAATTGTGGGAGAGCTCACTCTACCTAGTGACTATGAGAGTGATGCCGAATCGGCCTTCAGCGGTGCAGAGTCCACGTACAATGACAGTATGGTTGAATCTGATTATGAGGCGGATAGGGTTCCATCACCAGAACCAAAAGTTGACCATTTCAGAACCACAAATGATTACACTTTACCCACCTCATTCACTGAGGTATGTTGTGAAATTATAATTAATAAGTTTCTTTAATTACAATTAATTGAAATATAAAACAAATAGATTTTTAAATAAATTTATATCCTGTAATTTTATGCTTTCTGTTTTACTGCTTTGCCTTATTCCACTATATTTTATTTGACGGGAATACTTTAAAATTTAGTTGTAACAAATAATTCACAAAAAAATAAACATACTTTTGAAATAGTTGTTGTTTCATTATTTTTTAAAGAAACCGCATATATACTACATTTGCTAATTACAACTTCAGATCTTGCTTATTCTGCAATTACCCTTGTATTTTAGGATTACCGATCTCCAAGAGAACCAAGGTCCAGCAGAAAGACTAAGCCATACTCACCAGACACAGATGAAGAGTATGGAGGTGATATGAGTGATGGCAGTACTGGATATGTGCCACAAAACAAACCGTCACCAAACAGGAGACATAACCGACCAAATGAAGCCAGCAGAAGGAGAAAAGAGGAACGGGAAAGAGAGGAACGGGAAAGACATGAACGTGAAAGAGAAGAGCAAGAACGTAAAGATAGAGAGGACATCGAACGACGCGAGAGAGAGCGCCAAGAAAAAGAGATTCAGAATAAAAAGAAACGTGAACAGTTGGAGAAAGAAAGAGAACGTGAAAGGGAACTTATCAGAGAAATTGAAAGACAGCAAGAAGAAAGAAGAAGAGAAGCAGAAATAAAGATGTCAAGGGCAGCACCAAGCTTTGATGAACCCACCATTATGGACCCTGTGACAATTTCACAAAGTTACTCGCACCAATCCTATTCTTCTCCTCCAACGAATGTAAGGACATTTGAGGTAGATGTTGACATGCCTCCACCTCCCGTAGATTCCCCTGTAGCTTCCTCATCAACTTACAGTGTTCCATCAAAACCAGCAACCAAACCAAGATATGACCCAACACAGTTCACAAGTAGTACCTTGATGAACTATTCAAAGCCGGAGGTAAAGCCGCGGCCCCCTAAGCATACTACAGACTCAAGAGATAATATGCCAGAGCTGGTCAAAGTAGAGGCTGTTGTGCATCCATCCAGAGCTCAACCTCTCCATACCAGCTTCCCCGCTTCACAAGCTATGGAGACAACCTTTGGAGTTGATGACTATGTCCAGCCTAACGCTGCTGAAGACAAACCAAGATCGTATTGGCAACCAGCTAAAGAAACTGATTTGGATTCCTACACAGCAACACCGGCAGAAACAACGTTCCCTGCTGAGGATGAGCCAAGCTACAATGGCATTAATGGCTCATACAAGAGTGATAATAATAACCAGTATGGCAGCAAGGATGATCCTGCAAGTCCATACTACAATCCCAATATGGAACCTGTCAAGCCAGGCATCCCATTTAACAGTGAGAGAGATCACCGCATTAAGTCATATCAAAGATTGCAAGATGGTTAGTATAGTTTTTGTTATTTTTATACACTCAGGGCATTTTGCCTCTGATAGTCTAAAAATAAAGTGACACCAAAACCATAAATTGCAGTTGCCATTTTAAAGCCGTTCTCACATGTTGCGATTTTTGCTTACCACAAGCTGCGCTACGACACTCAGTCTGAAATTGTCTGGTGCACAGGAGAGGTATTGTATACAACACAGATACTCTTAAGGAAGCGTACGATATAGTAGAATTTTGAAAATTATAGTTGTAACTGTCGTAGCACAAGCAAAATCGAAACATGTGAGACCATGTTCAGTTGTCCTGTTTTAAATGTGATTATGTTAATTTTATCCTTGGTGGAATTAATTTAATATTTTTTCACAATTAAACTGTATACATTTAAATTTTTTGAAATCTTGGGTTTCTTTTTTTTTTGCGATCAGATGGTAAGTATTGAGGATAAATGGGGTTTGCATTTTCTGTCTATACAGATTCTTTTTTATATGTTTTTTAATATTTAAATATTGTTAATGCTAATATTATTATTCATTTAATGTTTATTGTTTTGTTGTTTTGTTTTGTCTATATATATCTTTTGTTGTCCTATTTTTCTTATACCTCATTATTATTTTTTTTCTAATTCAAGAAAGTTATTTTCATTGTATTTGATTTTCCCTGTGCAATCTCAAAACACTTTTTCTGCTAAAATATAAAGCAATTCATAAGTCATTAATTTTGCATGATAAAGTAATATTTATATATTTTATTATATCCAAGACATAGCAGCTCTGCCATATTTACCAGATTTGTGTTGTATTAAATTATAATATTATTTAATGGATTAAACATTATATATAGATAAGATTTATAATTGATATTTAAAACGTATGGTAATGTTTTCTGTTCTTAATAATCCTTTTAATATCTGATAGATTGTTTTAAATATTGTGATCTTGTTTCTTCATAGGACCTTTTGCTCATGAATCATCTAGCCGAGGACGCACCACTAAAACCAGAGAATTTGAAGGCTTTGACCGTGTTTTGAATACCAAGGCCCCTTACGAGAAACAGTCATACAAGGCTTACCGTGAAGCTACCCGGCCTAGGGACCAGTCACCAGGTAGCAGTTACCTAAAGAGTAGCCTGTACACCCCAGCTGCTTGGAGCTCAAGCCGTCAAAACAATGACCATTTAAGAGGAGAAGTTGCTTTCAAATCTGTAAAGTAAGACATTGCAGAAAACTACATTTTACTTGTGATATTCAGTCATTGGTATATTAGAATAATAGTTACCAAGCTACAGTAGATTTGCAAATCTGTATTTATCATTTTCTACTTTGGATGCTTAATTTGTAAATATTTATCAGCTTTTTAACACATCAAAATAAAATTATGTAATGCGATTATACTCAAAGAATTATGGAAGAGAAGATGCGATAATGCTTGTAGGTATAGCCAGCACAAGTATTGCATAGTTGAAAATTGTGATGCACAAGTCCGAAGAATGAATGTTAGCGCTTAAAATGCTTTGTATTGTCTTCATGAAATATTCTGAAAAATACACCTTGGCTTATTAGTAGTATATCTTTAGTTCAATATCTACTGTTCTTAGATTTTTCCTTAGTTGTCATCATTCACATCTATTGTGCCATCACTGACATACACTGTGCCATTAATGACAGATATTGTGCCATCACTGGCAGACACTACTATCATTGTCAGACACTGTGCCATAAGTGACATTAACAGGCATATGCCAAAATTGGCTCGCATTGTACCATAGTAGACATAGTGCCATCAGATGCCGACATTACTGATTTTCTGTTGTGAGGGATTTTGTTTATATATATTTAATTTTAAATATATTTAACTGTAGCAAAATGACTTTGTTCTCTCTCTTTTTTAACTCTATATAAATGGCTATTTATACTCAATGTACTCTCTTTTTTCTTGCGACTTTATAGAGCTCCACAAGGAAAAGGTTCTCAGGACAACTTGGATAAGGCCGACAATGGGTAATGATACATGATAGCTATTTTCCCCTGCGTGTTCCTGGGTGGGGAGTCATTTCATTTTCTTCAGCATTTATTTCCCATATTTTTTTGCATGCTTTAAATTTGATTCCAGTTTTTTTATTTTTGGTTTCATTTTCTCCATGCCTTTTTAGTTCTCTTTTGTACACATATAGCTCAATATATTTTCATTTCATCATGATTATATTTGTCATATTTGGGGCACATTTTATTTGATTATAAATATAAATGCACTGAATGAATTTTGATACCATTTGGTGTTTCTTTTCCTTTCTGTCTCTATATCTTTGTTAACACACAAGCGACATTTGCACTGGTTACTACTCTCTACGCCATACACAACTACCTCCCGGATGAATATCATTATTTAAACATGTTGGTGGTATGTTAATTAGAAGCTATCATAATTGTGTGTACATAAATTAATTTAATTAATAATCCTATAAAGACTGACATTGAGATAGGTTATTTAGACCTACTAACACGAGCCACCACCATTTAAAGATACAAAAGTATATCTCTCTGGCAAAAAGCATCTTTACCTCAACCTTTCTAAGCATAATTATTTTGGAGTTAATATCTCATCTATTTTTTTTTTAAGAGGAGTAGCATGCACTTATTTTCTTTTATTTACAAGGTAGTCAAAAAGTTTGGCCACCCTCATGCCTAACTAAGTACACATGGAAATTAGAAGAGGTGTGGTGGGGGTGGGGGAGTGGAGAGCTGAAAAAAAAATAAGAGGATAAATAGGAAATGTTTTCCATCATGTTTCCTATAATTTGTGTGTACTTTGTTTGGCAATTAAAAGGTTTTAACTGCCATCAATCATCATGTTGAATAATACACTCATTACATCTTATTACATTCTTTCTTACTCTTAATTTTTCAACTGATAAAAATATATTTTAAAGACGTATGGTTAATGACTAAATTAATGATTGAAAAAAAAATGTTTATTTTTCTATCTTTGAGGTGCTTATCTATTTTAATCCGAAATCACACTATAAGGCTATATTTTGAAACAAAATTAAAATTGATATTATAAAGATAAATATGAAGTTTTATACTAATGTAAAATGAGTCCCAATACACAAATGAAATATTGTAATTTTTTATGGACAAGAGGTAAAATTGTTTGATTATGGATTGTTGAGATCAAAGTGATTTAAATATTCAGTGATCACTTGTTAATTTGTTAACTGTTTATAATGATTATTAGGTGACTTTATATGTAATTTTAAGAGGTTAACCTGTTCATATTTTTTATAAGTAGAAAGTAAGCTCATGATATGGTGAATCGTTTAATTGCCCATTCACTCATTAGGAGCTTGACAAAATAATTTGACAAATGTAATGTTTTTGTTTATTAAAGCTTAAAGACAATGTATTAGATGATACCTTTTGTATATAGCAATTATTATATTCTAGTCAGCAACTAATAATTAAGTAAATTTGGTATTTAGCATTTCTGTCTATTTCTCCGTGAGTTAGTATAGTTTCTACTGTCAAGTGTGTTTCTGTTCATAATTTCTCAAACAATAATATCTGAAATTTTAACCTGCTGCTTATAAATTTCATGGAATCTGCCTCGGACTAAAAATTTTCTCATTCTGAAAAATACTCCCCGAATTTGTTACCTATTTTCTGTTTGAATTGCTTACATATCAGGCCTTTCACGTAAGTAATTTTTCACATTATTAATACCGTCATCTTTTTGATCTCTGCCTAAATTATCAGCTACTAGCCTTTATCTAGATAATTATGATAATTTTCAACTTGCAGTACATAATGCTTTTGTCAATCATTGGGGAAAAATATAACAATACCTCATTTATGAGTACACTTTACATATTAACAATTAGAGATATCATCCTTTACTGGTATGATATTTCTAATATTTGCAATCTCTGGAGAATTAGAAAAGATAATGTAATATAAATCATGTATATTGGTACCCGGATTTGGTAATTTAAGAATTCTATCGTATTTAGATGCCAATGAACTAAACATGAAGCATTCTTATTTGATTATGAATATTCATTAGGTACTTGAATTACTTGGACGAACGATTGTACAATTAGATTTAGAGAACGGGTTTCAGGATTGTGATTTTTTTGAATTGTTAATAAAATTTATGATAGAAATTGAGGCTTGTCTTGTTTTTTATTTGCCTCTAGTGAATCGCAAGCACCTCCAGAGTTTGCATTCTTATACACAAAAAATATTTCCAACATTTATAAAAACAAAACATGCTTATTTACTCTTTGCTTTGATGTAATGTGTGCAGTGGCAAATCCAGGGGGTGGGGATCACAATGAGGGAAAGATCATCCCTTATTTAATATCCCCTCCCCATTTTGACCATCAAATTTCCTGTATTTAATACTGAAGTATATTTTGAATTGGTACTACAAAAATTTTCAATTATATTAAACCAAGAGCACAAATACTTAAGATACACTATGTTTAATAAAATGTGTGTGCTAGTTTCTGTAGTGTTCATAATTGAATACCAAAAAGCATTTTGAAATGGGAGCCCTTGATTGTCAAATCCTGGATCAAATCTCTGATGTGTGTTTGTTTGTGTGGTCAACACTTCTTCATATACCTGTATTTAAAATGTCATCATGCATGAAATATAACATATTCATCCATATTATTATTAATACATGTAAACCCTTACCTGGGATGTGAAAATCAACATTGTTATTTATACAATACATTATATTATACTCCATCCCTGCCTTTAATGCTTATGTTTAGATTTATTCCCTTTCTATTAAATTGGTATATTCTTATTTAATTTTTAATATTAAATTTGTTCTTGGGTTGTTTTCCCCAGTTCTTATGTTCGTTCAAATGTAGAAACCCAAACAACCTACCTCAAACTTATTATTATTGTCTTGTTTGTTTTTTTTTGTTTTTTTTGTTTTTTGGGGTTTATTTTTTTTCTAAATGGCATAAACTTATCAACTAATGTTCATTTTATTCAGATTGAAAATATTTTTGGGTTCTTTGTGAGTTAGCAAATGGCTTCATTGTAACTTGTGTGCAGTATACAGCGGATGTTTCATTCAAACCAAAATATACAGAACATAATTTTAAATTAATAATTATTTATTAAATTCCGAATTAGAAAATTAAGCCGGTTATTGAGTACCATACTCAGATTTTTAACTACAGACTACCCTTTGAATTAACAATATTACTAATTAATTTTATTATTGTTATTAGTATTATTAGTATAATTACATTCTAAGACAAGACATATCTTTATATCATGTTTCGCAAACTTGTTTTTTTTTAAAGATCGTCAGAGGAGGGCGGGAAAAAAAATAAAAATAAAATTTTGTTTTCTTATTTAGCAAATAGTTTTGCCAAAAACATCAAGATTAGAAGGAGATAATAAAAATACAATTTTAGTGGTGAATATAAAGCGTAGTAATGGGATAGCAATGCTTTAAATTTATATAATTAGGAATAAATATTTGAATCTTATTTTTTGAAGATTTCAAGGCAGCAGCAGGTGTTATAAAAATATAGGAAAACTTAATTTTTTCTGAAATTGTTTTCATGGCAGCGGGTGCGCTAATTGATTAAACTAAAATTAATTAAATAAATAATTGAATTAATTTTTATTCCAAATCATTATTTGTGGACGGATGGTTCGCAAATCAAGATATAAAAAAAGTCTCTCCATAATATTATTACTATTAATAATCACGAAAACGGTCACTTTATTATATATTCTGTTATTTAGTAAACTACGCCTTTGTGTCTGTGGCACTCACTGAAGTGGTGCATTCAATAATATCTATTTACTGAATATTACTCTGTTACCTTCCCGTGTGCTGTATTTAATTTAAATAATGAATTCCCATGTGTGTTGCTTTTGTAGTGTGACAACTCTTAGTTTAAAAATTTGTACATTTGTATCAAATTGGTATTTTACGATATTAATTGCCATAAGTAGGAATTTTTTTTAAATGCATTTGATGGCAAGACGCCTGAAAGTATTGTGCTATGATATTTTTCTTCCAGATTTGTGCAGGCATCTGGATGGTATATCGTAACGAACATGGGGCCCTGGCTCAAATTATTATGTGATTAATATGTGTGTACGTCTTTAGGAAAAAACTCTAAACCCGTACTACTCATTGTTTCTAGTGAGCCAATTATTTACTCAAATAAGGAGTATGTATTTACTACCAAGATGTTTAGATACATTTTTCACCAGTTAGTATATATTTCTGAAACCTTTTACTTAAAACCACATTTTGAAATTTCCTTTAAATGTAGGCTTTTTATTGAGCCCCACCCATTGAGTTATTATGTCCACATTTACTGTATTTGACAAATACCTGCGATTTGCATGTACATATATAGTTGTAATATGACTTACTGTATGCCCATATATGGGCAAATTGCAGGTACCTGCACATAATACTTGATGGTAATTGGCCAATTGCTGTCGTATGTATTTTTAAAAGGTTTATTTTAATCCGCTTGTAAAATGGTTCTCTAATTGGAATACTGTAGCCAAGTGTAAAGCGCAAATTCAAATTTTTATGCACACAGATTAAAATTCACAATCAAATTTTTAAATACACACAATACTATTTTAGAGTTAGGCAGCTACAAGAAGTTCTTGCACCAGGCAGTGCGAATCTTAAAGCAAAAATACACAAACATCTCACCTAGTTGGCATTGCAGTGGATAAAGCTATGTTCAGACTTGACAAAAACATGTGACATGCCTAAATAGAGAATAGTCCCACTCCACTCCAATATCAATTTAGTGGCAGATCAAGGAATCAGGTATAGAAGAGGCTTAAGGATGGAACTTGGAGAGTTTAGATCACTAGATGGCCAAAAATGGCACTTTTTTTTTTTCATTTTGTCATCAATTCTCAAAAAATATGTGGGAGGACTGGCCTGTGTGGCCATTTTGAACCCGCCCTTGCAATTTATTAATGTTTGTCACAACTTGAATACTGTATTGCTCTCTTTAAATAAATAAAGCTATCTTGTATCTTGTAAACATAGAGAGACACCTGTTGACCAGATTGATGGACAGACTGTGTTGGCCACTGCTAAAGGAATGTTTGATCATAAAGGTGGTACATTAACATCCGAAGAAACCGGTGTCAGTATCTTGATTCCAGAGGGCGCTCTACCTTATGGTGAGAAGCAGGAGATTTATTTCAAAGTTTGCCGAGATAATAGTATGCTGCCTCCACTGGATAAGTATAAAGGTGAGAAAAGTTGTAGTTCAGTGGCCTATAATTCGATGACAGTGGCTATCATTACACCAGTCTTAAACCAATCCCTAATAATTTTTTATGTTATAGAATATATATGGATTAGGACGACAATAACATATAATCGGGATTGGTTTAAGAATGGTGTAGTAATAGCTTCTGCCTATTGACATGTTATTGGTGTAACTTTTTTTTAAAACCATGAAAGGTAAGGTAGTTGATGTTCCAAACAGGGGTGGCTTAAGAATATGCAATAATGGGGTGGGGAAAGCTTAGCTTAGTTGTCCAACAGAACTGACAATTAACAGCAGTGGGGTTCAGGGAATAACCACCCTCACGTCTAGAAACCTGCAGTGTATCTAGGAGTATTGTAATGGGGGAATTGATGGGTGCGTGTTCAGTGGTGGTGCCAGTGGGGGAGGTAGGCAGCAGGGGCCTAAGCCCCCCACCAGACAGAGCTCGTTGGAGTAGACGGATCCAAAAAAAAATAGTCCTGATGAAATGAAATGCGTGTTTATTGAGTTTGAGAATAGAGTCACAATTTATCAACTTCACATTTAAAGTTATTTTTTAAGTCTGAGAGTGCCATTTCTGGCCATCCAGAGGTCACAATTTAAAACAAAATCTCATTAGGCCCCTCTCCTAAAAATTTGTAGTTGGAAGCCCCTTGATTTTGTACCCTCTAGATACACCCCTGCCAGAAAAATGGCAATTTTGTTTTGAGATATACAGTATTAATAATTTAATTGAAATACAGTGCATTTAAGTGACATTTTTTTATGTTATTGGTTTTTACAAAGTTATTGGTAATTAAGTGTGTATTTGTATAACATTTTGTTAATTAATTTTGTAATTTCAACAACAATTGCAATATATATAATTATAATAATTAATTTTAAATATATTTTTATATATCCTGAATTTTAATTCTAATTATTTATTAATAAACAAACTTTCTTTACATTTTATTTTTCTCTTAGGTGAAACTTTGCTTAGCCCCTTGGTGATGTGTGGACCGCATAACCTCAAGTTCCTTAAGCCAGTTGAACTGAGATTGCCTCATCAAACATCAATGACACCAGATGGTTGGTCATTCAACTTGAAGTCAAGCGATACCCCAGCAGGTAGGAGATTATGCATTATTAATTATGAGAACAAATTTGTGAATTGCAAAGTTGAGAATCTTGAATAATGCATTACTGTATGGCTGGCAATTCAGCACTGTTATTGAATTATAATTTTAATTTACTCCTTTATTTCCATTTGGAAAGCATCATAAGATAATAATATACAATATCCAAAATATAAGAATCAAAATACTATCAAACTATTATTTCCAAAGCTCTGTCCACACTACGGCATTATGTGTGACAAATTTGTGTTATATGCCCATATATGGGCATGATCACAATATTTGCCCGTATATGGGCATGATCACATTATTTGCCCATATACGGGCATGATCACGTTATTTGCTCATACATGGGCATGATCACATTATTTGCCCATATATGGGCATGATCACATTATTTGCCCATACATGGGCATGATCACGTTATTTGCCCATACATGGGCATATTCACATTATTTGCCCATATATGGGCATGATCACATTATTTGCCCATACATGGGCATGATCACATTATTTGCCCATACATGGGCATGATCACATTATTTGTCACATAAAATTTTATAGTGTGAACAGAAAGTTACATCCTTTACATGTAGACATTTTGACTTTGTAGACATGTAGACTTTGACTATTCAATTTCAGGAATCTTACAAATATTACTCATTTCTAAAAATTTACATTTATTGTTATTAATATTCTTATATTAATAATTACTGTGTATATTGTCTTAATTTTTATATTCATAATTTATTACTGTATACTGTATATGTCTCAATTCTTAGATTTATATTAATAATTAATTTTTGTATATATTGTCCTTTTTTTTACTGAAATTGTAAGGCTTGCATACAATTTGGCTTACGAGCCACGACTTGTGACCGCTTTTTTTTATTGATGTTTTTTTTACATGAATAAAATTGAAATGAAAACCATTGTTTTCTGTCATTGAATTGTTCCCAGGTCAGCCAGCTAAGTGGAAAAATTTGAAGATTGACGATGATCAGCAGACATCGAAAACAGTTGTTGGAACCAAAACAGTGTCTGTCATGGTTGATCACTTTTGAACTGTGCTTCCATTTTAACTGTTGAATATCATTTTAACACATTATAAATAGTCCTCAATCAAAATCAAGTTTAGTTACAATTTGTGTACATCTCATTTATTAAAAGGAAATTTCTACAAATGAAATAAAGATGTGCTGAAAGACTGGAAATCATTTTATAATGAAAAAAAATATTAATTAATAAATTTGATAAAGTGGGAAAATTCAAGTATGTAGCACCGAGTTGGTGGAGCAATCAAGTGGTCTTTGATTCAAATTCCAGTGAGAACATTACTTTGTTTTTTTCAAACCACTACTGTATATACAGTATCTTTATATGTCTCTTTTGGAGTTCATACGCAATTTTAACATTATTTTATAATATTGTAAGATAAGCGAGTATGCTTATGAAGGCTTTATTAGTATGTGTCAAATTTCTTAAATTTGCCAGTCGTTGCATAAACCAATGACTACCAAAAAGACCGCACTGAAAATAAGTCTTTGGACTTTCATGAGTTATTCTTGGTGTTCACACAGAATAACTTCACTCCATCCAATCACCAAATTGACTTATTAGGAATGGCCAGATACAAACTGAAGTACTGTAATAAAAGACCAGTAGATAAGTGAGAGTTGATATTGGCATACTTCCACCAAAGTGTACATAATAGCAAGAGGTAAGACTGCTGGCATTTCTTTGAAACACAATTCTATCTCAAAGAGAATTACCAGTATTACTTGAACTAGAGGGTGTTCTTCAAAAGAACATAAAAGGCTTTTGTATCAAACGCATGCTGTGTCTATAGAATGCATGTTCGAGTTTTGAACTCTATTGAAATTATAATATCTCGTAATACCAGTTGCTGTGCATGAAAAATCAGAACAGTCGCACCTCTTGCAATTCTGTACTCGTTGCTTTTACTAAGATTGCAAGTTGTAACAATGGACCTTTCCGCTAAGCCCCGCCCATTGGATGTTGTTGCTAAGGTACCACAAACGACAGTGTTAAAGCATACGCCAACACGTGCGTTTGTGGGACAACATGTGTGTTTGTAAGACGCGTGCGTATTCCTAGCGCTGTTCTGATTAGTCAATTGTTAAGTTTGATTGACACTCCGGAAAGGTCTATTAGTGATCATGCCTTTATTCCTTTGTATTTTACATTTGTAACAAATATTTTTCTATAACATACCTTGATCAGACCATTCCTTTACAAGTTTGCTTAATAGCATTTTCATCCCTTGTAGATAAGTTTATATGAGTTCCTCAGAATTCTTTGTGCATTGTGATGTTAATGTATAATATCATATTAGATAGACTTGCAGTATCATAAATGATATTTTTGGTTAATAAAATGATATTTTGTTGTATATTCTACATGTAAATAATCTTAGCATATGCATTATTCCTTATGTTACTTAGTGTACTTAATTTATGTAGCATCCAATCAGTATTTTAGAGAGTAAACTTAACTTACAGTATGTAGAATTCACCATGTTTGAAATTTAACTACGTACCATACTGGTTGCCCAATGATGAAATGAGCATTAATAAGCACTGATACTGTATTTTTTCTTTTCCTGAACTTCAACAATCTTATAAAATTGCATTTTGTTTAACAGTCTTGTAGATTATTACTCTAGTTGGCATGTTCAATTTTCACTTGACATACACTGCAGGATTGAATCCAGGGGGTGAGGGGGGGGGAGATGGGCGTGCCAGCCAGAGACAACACTACCCTAGGGTATCTCAGGTCATGATCCCGGGAAATTTTTGAGTGCTTGACAATTCAACACCATCTGCTGATACAAATTGTTGTTAAAGATAATCCATTGCATGTTCCCTTGTCACATTGCAGTTACTAGTTTCTTCTATAATTTTTTTTTTTTTTTTCTTTTTGAGTTACAAAGTGCTAGAATTGTGGAGATCGTTTAGCTGCCTGTGAGTACTGGTAGGCCTACAGTAGTTGGTTTTTGAATTGCAATCTTCATGGTATTGCAGCCGACATGTGTCAGTCAACGCAGTGTGTGCCCAGCTGCATTTCTTTTACTTTTGAAAAAAAATTACGAGATTTCACAAAATTCTATTAGTTTAAAACCTGAATTCATAAACCGGCATTACATATTTAATCAGGGGCCGATCTAGGGTTTCGGAAAAAAAGGGCAGGGCAACTGTTTAACAGTGTTATGGATGCATATAACCATGCAACCCCCTCACCCCCACTTTACCCACCACTCTGATACATTAGTCTCACTATTATACGGATAGGTGATAACATTGGCTATTTCTAATGCATTCGTTAACTTGTATTTGCAGTGTTCAGATACTTTTTTTGTTGTATTTTTATTCACTCGTGAACTATTATTGATTTATTATTGTATTTATAATGTTAACTGATCATAAATTTTGTGGATATTGATTTGCACTGTAACAAATTTCATTGATTTGCTATTGTAATCACTTTGTGGGTTTTTGGTTAATAAAGGCAATCATTTGGTAATAATATTTGCATGGAACTCCATCTTTCATTTCATAATTTCTTGTGTCACTTTTCATCTGAATTCTTGTTACCATTTGAATATATTATGTTAATTAATATCATGTGACCCGTGGTTTTGACCCCGGGACATCAGAGAAATTACAGCCATTGGCTTGCAGGGTTACGGTAGAAACTTGTCCCCCCAAAGTGCCCCCTAAGTTGTAAGCAAAAAAAAAATACAGTACATTATGTACCATAAATGCTTGAATAAGGAGGATTCAGTGCGGGCTTATTTGAGAACGGCACTTATTAAAAAAAGTATTAGCGTGGCGCTTTCCATGCCCGTTCCCATCTCACCTATTCCTGTAGTTCATTAGGCCTATCATAGGTCCTATGTCATCGTCATATAAATGTTTATAAAGAAATGCGTATCTTCATTGTGGTATTTATTTATTTTAACATTCTATACATTGTATTTAAAACACTGTTTCTCAAAGTTTTTCATTACACACAGGATAATATATTCTCCCGTTTAAGCTTATTTGAGAGCAACGCTCAGCTAAAAAAAAAAATCAGGTTTGGTGCAGCGCTTATTCGAGAGCAGCGCTTATTTGAGAGCGGCAAATTCTCAATCGATGTCCGTAGCACCGAAATTAGAGTTTTGGAGGGGTTCCACCAAAAAGAAATTTATTCCAGCAATTATTTGTGATGCGTAGACGAAAGAAGGGTTTGTGAGGGGTTTTTTACCAATATTCAAGCATTCACATTAGGCCTACTATTTAAAACAAAGGAAAAAAGATACCAGATTTGGCACGGAAACTTAGTATGAGGAAGCACGTTTATTAGAAATGTAAAGTTACGTAGATGTTCGACAAATTTGTCAACATCTTAATTTGAACCCAGGTTCCTCTCCATCTGAATACCATTAAAAGTCTCTGTACAGTACCAAATTCAATATGCTTTTTATTTATTGATTGTATATAGGCCTATATTATGCAGTAACATGAAAAGAACGTGTCCAAAATAAAAGAAGATCGAAGGGAATGCCGCAATTTGTCTACCGTTTCTCATATCATAGATTTAAGCAATGGACTTAAACGCATTTCATTTAAAGCATGGTTCTAGCTATAGGCCTAAATAGATCCAACTTAAAAAATTATATTAACTGGGGAGAAGTGGTTTCTCGTTATAATGAGACCGATCGAAAAAAGATTAGTTTTCATTGAATTACCGTACTCGCGCGAATAATAAGCGCCCTTCTCGAATAAACGCGAAAATTTCCTTAAGTGCCCCGTTTGAATAAACGCCTTCTCAATAATTCAATCAATCTTGGGACTGTGGATGTTGGCATGATTTGAGGCGTGTAGTGGAATCACATTCTCCTGTTTTGTCAATATCAAAATGAGGATATTTATCTTGGACAGATGAGAGCTCCCTGGACAAACAGTATTTCCAACTTCCATCTTGCATTTGTTTATAGCCTAGCCCTACTCCTTTTCCGACAATTTTCACCTTTAACACATTCTCATCTACATCCTGATGATGACATAATTAATGTCAAAATATTGAATTCCGACACGATGGGGTGCCGTTCGATGCTTGGAGTATGTACTATACCATAGCCGTCGAAAGCATTTTGCAAGTGGTCCGGCCATTATAGTCAGAGCGGGGGGTGGGGGGTAAACTAAACAAATTTAGTTGTAAAAGTTAGTAGAGAGCATCCACTATCAGCCTCATCAACATTTTTGCAACTCTGAATGCCTGGAAATAAATGCTGACAATTTGTAGAGCCTCTCTCCTCAAAGAAATAAAATTAGCACGGAGATAGAGTGTATGTTGGAAATATGGTACCTCTGGATGCCTGGAAATACAAGCTGGCAAACCTGTATAGCCACCACCCCTCCCCATCCTGTCTATTGGCAGACAAAGATTTAATGTTAGTGGGGACTAGAGATATACCCACCTCTGCCCTGTATGTTTTGGGCCAAGGTGAGCAAATTGTGAAACTTAAGGCATCTAAATATAACTAAGTTATTGTTATGAAAATATGTAGTACAATATATACTCTACATCGTACATTTACTAAATGTATCTATATTGAAATATTTGCTCCCAGCGGACACTATATTCCATATTCTAAGTTTCGTGGCATGAATATGTCCCCATAGCAGGCTCGAGGGTGTGTCAATAATGTTCATGAGGTACTCTCCCATATAATACTAATAGGAAGATTCTTTTAAAGGGCATCATATTCTTACTGGTATGACTCAAGAAAAAATAGAGATAATAAAGGCCTATGCCCTGTACATGATGCTAAAGAGTGGGCACAGAAAAAAGCATCCAGGTTAAAATTCTGTATCTGGACACAGAATGTGGTAGCATTGACCAAATTACAATTCGTAAGATCATTTTAAATCATAGTAATAGACAAATGACAAAATGCAATTAAGTTGCTTATTCCTCCATGAATAAATAAAGTGCAGGAAACACGAATATGTACAAGGAATAACAATGATAACTATAAGTATATCTACACGACGTGCAGTACTGAGAAATATTAACAATATGCAATTAATTAAATAGGCTTAGAACATGTTCTATGAATGCACATGACACAGTATGCTATGAATTATCTATGGAAATACAGTAGGCCTCCTATGCCTATACAAATAACGTCGCGTTTCGACAAACTTACTGCTCGTACAATTTATTTTACACTTACCAAATTCAGTCTGAGGCATAGTCAATTATTTATCACGCTCCAGGTCAGTTATATTATCACTTGAATTGTTAAAATGCTGTAATTAAATCCTGGGTCTTCTGGTAGACCTTATAGCGATTACACTCAGACAGACCATGTAGATACCTCCATGTACAGATCTAACAGGTGATACAGGCTTTTTTTGTAAAAGAGTGGGGAGGGGCACAATGTTGTTAAATGTGGCTAGTTTTACAGGGGTTAAGTGGTCATACCGTGGAAACTTTTTTTACCTGGATGCCCAGAAAAAATATGAAATAATTATGATGATGATGATGATGATGAAGATCAAACTCTGTTTAAAGTGAGTCCAATTTGGAATCAATGGAAAATAAAGGCCCCGGTAAGGGTGCATGGAAAAAGCCCCGAGAAAAATCAGTAGTTTCGATTTGGGGCTGAGACTAATTTGGGTTGCTATAATTAGACTTATAAAATAGTAATACTTCCAGAAAGCAAAGCCATATCTTCCCATTGAGCACGGGGACTAAAAAAAGCTGGGCAAAAATTTGATGGTTCTGGTTGTAGCGTATAGGCATGTTTGGTATTGATTTAATTTTAGTTATCGTTGCTTTGCATTGCATTGGAATTGTTGATTTTTTCGGGTCGCCAACCCGTTACGAATCTGGATATCCCCCACCACCACTCGTCTGACAGCACGACGAGGTCATCGGACTAAATTAATATTTAAACTGAATCAAGACGTTACTATGATTGCTGTTCCCTAATATTGTAGTCTAAAAGTATAATTTTGGGATGCCCGAAAATAGCAACTGGCAATTATAGAGCCAAATACCACTCCCCAGCAAGGGGCAGAAACAGCATGCATGATGTGAACGAATTATGAAATTATGGCATCTGCGATACACAAAAATAGCATCTGGCAACCAAGAATAGCAAGTAATCATGGCTGGCTTTATCCGCATAAGCCTTGTGTGGTGACTAACCCCAACATTTCATACATAGTTAATTGTAATTATATGTTTATACCTCTAAACATTGTCAAAATTACAATTTTTTTTTTTTTTTTTGACTTTTCTGTTATTTGCTTTTTTTTTTTTTTTTAAGGGTGTAGACTTTTCTGTTATTTGCCATTCTCTCTTATTTTATATTTTTAATTGTAATATTTATACCTTTAATGTAATAGGCCTATGTATGTAATATTTAATATGTGAAACTGAATTTTATGTAATTTTATGTACCGGTACCGTATTTTTAATCTTTAGACATTTATTTTTTATATCATTTTATATTTTTATTGTTTTTTTTTTTTTTTTTTTTTTTGTGTGTTTTGACACACTGTTGGATCTTTAACAGATAAAAAAAAATTTAAAAAAATAAAATATGTAATAATATTGAGAAAAAGTGGTCCGGCCAAAGCCGGTGCGGCCGGTGCGGTTCCGACGGCCCTGTATACTATCTTATTCTCATCTAAGTTTTCAAGAAAACCTGCAATGATCATGCCGTCCTGCTATTCTCAATCGGCCGATGGCCAACAAGCTAACGTGTTTCTTTAAAAACTGGTATACCGCCAAGACAAATGGTAAACGCCAATTGATTCGAGCCGAGAGAGGATGAAGTACTGTAGGCCTATAAGCTAACCACACCACTAATTTCATCTGCTATTCTGCTGTTATGTAATGTAATACTGTACTCACAACATTCTTGTCACGACAAGCATGCTCTCTGGACGATCATCTTTTCCGCCGCACCACCATTCGTTTTGCGGTTTCCTGATGTCCTTATATACAGTAATCGTTTTTCATTAAAAATGTGCCTCTTGAATTTAATAAGTTCTCATAAGAAACCCTTCGATGTTCACTCTGTTTTCATAAGCGCCCCGTTTGAATAAGCGCCCCTCGAAAGTGCAAAAAAAAAAAAAAAAATATTTTAAGCGCCTGGGCGCTTATTCGCGGGAGTACTGTACAATTTTTTTCTCTAAGAAAATATTTAAAGATATGAGGGGTCAGTGAAATAGTGCTAACCCACAAGTGATTTATTTTGAGATAAAGTTGTTTTAAAATTTGGAAAAATCCTTGAACAAAAAAATCCTATGTAATTATTTTGAAACCCTCTATATCTAATATTAAATACAGTACCGTATGCAGTATCTGTGAAAGTGTTTGAATGTGGGGTAACTTTATGTTGCTGAATGTAGCTCATTTTTGACGAAAAAGTGAGTTTAACACTCTTTTGCACCGAACCCTTCATATACTGTGGTGAATTCCGAAGATAAGCCAAAGAACTCCAATTAAAAATGAATTGGTAATTTTAACGATACCTTTGTGAAACTGAAACATTACGGCCAACCAACAATAATAATAAAAGTATCAATAAACAACGATTTTCCTATGTTTCGGTTGCTACTTCGGCGAGCCTTGGTCAAATGTTCGGCGATCGGGGTGTAGTCCGCCACATTTCATACCCCCACCCCCATTCACCAGTATCCTATAGTTTATAATTTTAGAAACCCCCGCTTTTAAAAGCGAGGGGAAAACAACAATTACGAATGACTGTCAAATCATCTCATTCGAAAAGCGTGGGCTTGTCAGTAAATAATCATGGTCGGCGGAAACGGGGGTGGGCGGGACCCCGGGTCACCCACTTTTTGCAGGAAATATATAATGTCTATGCAGATTTTTGTATGGTCTGCTTCATCGCAATTCATATTCCATTCATCTTACTTAGTGAAAAAACGTTCCGCCGGTCCTGAAAATAAATAAGATAAATCATAATTTTTATGAATATATTCTGCACAAAATGTAGTGAGCTTTTTATAGGCCTAAATTAAAACACTTTATAATATTCTGAAAACGTAATGTAGAAATAGTATTCGTCTAAAATAAATTGTATGTCTAGAATGGCAAAGTAATTGTTTTATTTTTTTATCTGCTTCTGATTCTATATTTTCTCGACGATGTTTGTAATAAAGAACAAAGAATATAACTTTATAAAAGAGGAATCTGCGAGGTGTGAACAAAATTGCCCAAACCAGGATTGAATGAAGGCCTGCATTGAAAACGGCGTTGCATGTGTTCAGGTAAACCCATTTTTCAGAGGACCGCCGCTTTGTCCAGCAGACCCCTACCCAAATGCACCTTTAAAATATCCTTCCCTCTTCATAATTCACATTAAAATTGTTGTTGCAGGATTACAAACTGATCAGTTGTATTTTAAAATTTATTTTGTTGTTTTTGTAGAGGATCCCTTTCAGTCAGCACTGCTGTTAAGAGTTAAATAAAGTTGAATAATTTATTATTATTATTATTATTATTAGTAATAGTAGTAGTAGTAGTATTATTGTTATTGTTATTGTTATTGTTATTGTTATTGTTATTGTTATTATTATTATTATTATTATTATTATTATTATATTATTATTATTATTATTATATTATTATTATTATTATTATTATTATTATTATTATTATTATTATTATTATTATTATTATTATTATTATGATTGGGATAAGGCCCCATTAAAATTATTAGTTTATCACCCGCTCCCTCATCACTTTTGGGGAAAATCTGTTTTGTTTTTTTTTTTTTTTTTTTTTCAATCAACATATATTTTTATTTTAAACGGTCCTTTTTCCATATTTTTTCACTTGAAAACTCAGGATTTATGTTTACTGGTACAACAAAAACATCTTTTTTAAATATAAATTTGATTCCACTCTTATGACTTTTTATATAATGTGTCACTAACCATTGATTTACTTGTGAACATGGGTAAAATGGAGGCTGGGTTAGCAGAAAAAAAAAACCTCCCTCCCTGATCAGTTTCTTCTTTGCTGTGGTGATAAACTAATAATTTCTTTATGGGGCCTAAATTCCAAGCAGTGGTCACATTGATAGGCCTGTGGTAACTGTACTTTAGTTTATACTTTAATGAAGGGCGACCTCATTTCATTTTACCGCGACGATGCTCGCTTGTTTTTATTAAAGATCATCAACATCCGGGTGTTTTTGGAAAGTGGATCACATGACATGTTAATTTTCTCGTCCGCGCGTTGTTGTTTATCGGAGTAAAAATATGTCTGTCGAAAGCACGCCAGGTAGTGAAAAGAAGATTTCAGAGCTTCGGGTAGTAGATTTAAGAGCAGAGCTTGAAAGGAGAGGTCTTGAAAGAAGTGGCGTTAAAGCAGTTTTAGTTGAGCGATTGCACAAGGTTAATAAGATAGTATATTTTATAATTTTATTATGTTATGTAACTTAGTTTCTAGGCCTAGGGCCTAGGCCTAGACCTTGATGAGATTAAATCCTTCCCGGACCCATTCATGCGTGCTAGGCCTGCAGTATACTATAGGTAGGGTGCGGTTGGTTTATCATTGTTTGTGGCTACAGACCCATGAGGAGGCTAGCGTCCTTACAGTACAGACACAAATTACCGCTTCGTATCTGCGCGTAACCTCTCGTAATCTGCTCGTAGGTACGTTTTGAACGTACAGTAGCTACGAACCACTACGAAGGTCATTGTTATTTTAATTAGGCCTAGCTTTGCAATGATCGTAGGCTGGATCGTCGGGATCTGGATCGTAAACAATATTGAAATATAGTTTACCAGCTTTCAACACGTAAGCAATGTTGCAATTTACTAAATAAACAATGTTAGAACTTTATTGTTTTGTTATATCCTACCTTATTATTAAATCGATCATGTTTTAAAACTGTGTTTAGTTCGCTAGCTGGGTGAGTAACCTAGTGGGCATTCAGTATGTTCGAATTTCGATGTCATTTAGGCTTATGTACGGCCAACATTTTCCCCTATAGAGGAGGAGAGCAGACAGTAGATACTGGTAAACTTTCCAATTCAGAGAATTTTGATCCGATATTATTCTTCTGGTAGTAGGAATTTTCTTCTTTTAAATAATACTGATGACAAATCATGTACAAATTATCACGATTTCTACAGATCACGTTATTTATTGTTTACCGTAATTTGAAGCAGAACAACCTGCAAAGCGATCCAATACTAAATGGAAGTATAGAAATCACTACCTTGCCGAATTAAGGCTAGTCATGCTAGACCGCATTTACTCAGTTTTTTGCTCACTGTTGCTCACAGCTTTTCAACATTTGCCACGAGGTTAACCTTTAACACACTTTACTGTGTTCTGATTGGCGCGCACTCTGACGTCTAATGCTGGTTAAGTTTTACTTTCCATTGGGTTTTCCATGTGACATTCAGTAATTTTACAACCAACGGACGTTAATTCTCCTTTATATTTATTATTTATCTTACTAAATCAAGACTACAAAATATTATTTGATAAACAATCTTTTCACATGTGTGTATTGTCATTGAGTACATCATTTTTTGACATTTTAAATGAGGTAAAATAATTGTAAGTAAAAAATAAGCTAGGCCTAGGCTAATTAATTAAAAAAAATAATACAGCAGTACAAACAAGTTCCTGTCGTGGACTGCGAGTGGAAGAGGAGACTCCCATGAAGTTAAGTGTACGTTTTTCTTATTGAAAAACAGCTCCATACTTTAAATTAACGGTCTAAACTCGTGTTTGCCATTCACAAATTATCAAACAATACATTGTTTATTCCAGTAAGATACAGCAGTCTTTCTGCACATACAAATAAACAACATGCTTTTGCTTCGTAGGTTCGCTTCGCGTAGCCTTGCTTAGATTGTTTATTTCAGGCTACGATGTATCTACGAAGCCTGCGCGCAGGTTAGATTGTTTATATCAGGCTACGAAGCCTGCGCGCAGGTTAGATTGTTTATATCAGGCTACGATGTATCTACGAAGCCTGCGCGCAGGTAAAAGTGCAATATTTCATGGCGGTACTGTACTTCAGTCTTTTTGAATTGTATTGTCACTATACTGTGTTGTAACCATGATATTTCCAGATAACACAGTGTCAAAGACTAGACCTATGCCCTAGTTATGTAGCATAAGCCTAGACTACCCTAGGCTATGTCGCCTGTATCATCAGTATCAAATTGCGTGATATTTTGTGTGAAATTAACCGCAGAAGGGACCGGGTGTCTAGGCCTAGCCTAGGCAAGGCCTACTGTAGTCACTAAACATACTGCTTGTTCTCTGATGACGTCAACCATCTGGCCTGGTGTTTACTTCACACGACATGCACGAAAAGAACACATCGGTGACAACAGGCTAAACAAAACAGATTAAAATTTGGTAGCAATTACGATCGATCAAACAATATAACAGCCATTTTAAAAGGAAAAAATAAAACAAATAGGCCTAGGCCTACTGGTAAGCTTAAACATCCAAACTATTCAGAATTCATTGAATTCAATTCAAATTTAATTTCTTCTGGAAAAACATGACAACAAAACATGATGCTGCCTTTCAAGGATTGCAAAGAAGTTTTAAAAACTAGGCCTAGGTCTATCAAGTGACTCCTGACAGCATCATTACAAATTAAAAATCTTAACTGGAAAGCAATATTCAGAGCCTCACTATCAGCACCCCCCCCCCCAATCCCTTGTCAGCAGATTTTGACTAGGGTCCTAATAAATTTTTTAACAATTTTTATTAAAAATTTTTGTTAAGGGCACATAGAAAAATTGTTAGATTATCACTACCATCCGCATAAAAAATTTGGCAAATACCGATGCGGGAATAAAGAAAAAAAAAATCAACAGCATAAAAAAAGACCAATGCAATTTTGTGACTTAAAATACATTTTCTTTAATTTAAAAAACAATAAAATTTAACCAGTTTTATTGTATCTAATGGTTTTTAATGTTTAAAAAATTATAAAATTGGTAAAAAAACAGCAATCGAAAATGTTCAGCCTATAGTTAAAGATTTGATGCTCTTAATATATTGTTCAGCAAGATTTTTAAAAAGTACAGAGAATGGTTTTGATGCTACTGTAATGTGTTGTGCTCATCAAACACTGGTTTGCATCCTGATAATTTTTAAAACACATGCATGCTCATTTATTATTTGTTATTGTTTTAACTTAAAAGAGAAAACAATAAGTCTATTAATTTTGTTTTGAAATTGATCTTATAAATATTTTAATTATTCTTATTACCATTAATAGTATTAAAGGTAGTGTTTTAAATTGTAAATATATATTTATCATTTGAGATGATTTGGAACTGGTACTGCTTTGTGCGTTTTTGTGCAAATAGTGTTTTTTTTTTTTTTTTATTGTAAATATTTTCACTAATAAATTTTTTCCACTCGAATCATAATTTTCTTAACCAATTGTTTACTTAGGCAGTGGAGGAAGAAGGAGCAGACCCCAATGAAATATTGATAGTAGTAGCAAATACTCCTGCAAAGAAAACACCAGCAAGTTAGTATTATATGTCATTATTTTTGTTAGTTAAATTATTTTTGGGCTTATTCTCAACCATAAGTTTGAGTTTCCTTTAAAAAGATTTCAGAATTTGTTAATAACCAAGTTTGTGTAAAGTTATAAATCAAATACAAGAATGTTATATATCAAATACATACAACTTTATAGTTAAAACATGATAATACAATGTATCCCAGATATGTCATTATTGTGTCTAGTGTAAATGTAGCTTAAGTCGAATCCAAAATGTCATTGAAATATTGTTTGACTTGGATAAAATTTGACTTACAGATTGTTAAATAATGGAAAGCACTAAATTTGGCATGTAAAATTAGATTGAGTAAGGCTACATTCAGACTTGGAGATAATCCAGGCCTGAGTTAAGCCCAGCTAAAGTTTGCCGGCGTTCAGAGACTAGTGGGTTTAACCAGGCGAGAATTTGCATAATTATAAACCGTAACCAGGAAACGTGTTGTTTCAAAACATTGCTCGCGAAACGTACGCTTGCTCACAGCGTACGTAATTGAATGCTGATTGGTCATTTTGTCACCAGAAGTCAATGCAAGACCCCCCCGCAACGATTGAAGCCCGGCTTAGAAAAATTAAACACGGTGGTACACCAGGCCTAGTTACTATAGGAACACAGCCCGGCTTGAGATAAGCCACCTAGTTCAGGCTGGCAGGTGGATAAACCCGGTGAGTTGGAACGGGTTTATCCACCTAGTCTGAACTAGGCCAAAGTAGAATTATTCGACTTAGGCCAAGTAGACTTTGGCAAGTTTAACTGTATTTTGCATTATTTCTCTATTTCAGAGAAAAAGGAACAAGAAGGAGATGATACTGCAGATAATTCTTATGAGGTGAACACTCAATTTTATTTATTGCATACAACTTTTTAATTCATGTAAAGAAATTAGTAACAAGTGTCTCGGGTAAGATGTTCTATTAAAATTTCAGGGCTCTGTAAACACATTTTTTTTCTGTTGTCTCCACCTAATGAATCTGTACCTAGAGTAGTCCTACTGCTGTAATAACATTTGATTCTAAGATTAATTAGTCCAAATATTGTAAGTGTAATGTCTTCTAAATTGTATATTGTCATAATTTTTTATTGAATTTCACTCTGGCCTCATTCTTTTTTTAGGCTACTGTGTCTTCATGTTTCCCTATTTTCATTTTTTAGGCAAAATCTCTAGAATATCATGTAATAATTTAGGGATTAAATGAATTTTTGTGTTGCCAGCTTTGCTTACAATATAGTCCTCAAAGAAACAACCCTGACAAAAACCTTTTTTTTTTGTCTAACTGTATGTCAACATTTTCAGATGATTGATGAAATGGAGGAAGTGATGGAGACTGAAGATTCAGAAAGGCAGTTAGAAGAACATGGCATGCAGATAATGGAGGACATTGGTCCAGATTATGAGATGGATAACATTGAGGTTTTAGATGAAAAGATGGATTCCGACATAAATGAGGTTATTTTTCCTTTTAATTTTGCATTAATTACACGCAAAATATTTTTTAGAAAAAAACTGGCAGTTCTTATTGTCAAACCTGTCTTTCTAATATAAAATTATGCTAATTATTTAGTTTATTTCTTTTTAAATCAATATAAAAGATAATGTATAATTCAGTTAAACTTACAATGAATTAACAAAATATAAATATACATAGAATGTAGATGTTTTATTATTTAATATGGTTTTGTTATTGCAAAGTTCAAATACATAATAGTACTCAGGACACTTGAGAAAATTAAAGATTACTTAGTAGAAACAAAGTGTTATTTATTGTGTGTATATTATCATTTTGTTGCTTTTACATTTTGTGTTTTTTTTTTATTTATTTATTTAGAATGACGCTATTCTGGATGTACTTGAGAGCATTGGTGAAGATAATGACGATGCACTCAACGTGAATGCTGAGTATGACCAACTGCTTACTGAAGATGTAAGTATGCAAGGGCTTAACACATTACTAATAAGTATTACTAGAATGCAATTAATACTAGTATGTAAATAGTACATGCAAATATATTTTCTTATGTTTTTTTGGTATTTTTTTTTTTTTTAGTTCACTTGATTTATGTTTAATTCAACAATAGACAACCTGCCACATACAGGATCAATTTAAGCTGAAATATGATGTTTATCAAAAATAAAAACAATATGATTAAATCCTTAACATTTGTAATAGTAAAATATGTTTACACAAAATTGTACTCTTGTTTTTTCCAGTTGTGGTGTATTTAAGAACTAAGGCTTATATATTTTTCTAATATTTTTTGTTTCAGGAAGTTGATGGAGATGTTCCTGATAGAGATAAAGGTATAGTAGTCGATATAGCAGTGCTACTAATGAGATTGTCAAAAAGTACCCATAGCATGTTAACATATCTTCAATATAAACAGTAAGGTTATAAGTAATGTTAAAGCTTTCTTCTCTATTGTGAAACACCATGCTTAATATATCAAATTTTTTAATTTATTATTTGTGACAATTTAAAAAAAAATGTATTTTTACATGAAATGAATAATTATTGAGATCAAATTATGTATTAGTTTATAAAAAATACAGTATGGTGTTTCCATCTGAGAGTAAAATAAACATTTTATAAATGGAGACTTGCAGAACAACTATAAGTATTGTGATGTGCATCAGTTGTGAGGATCTGATCCTTCATTGTTTTGGACTGACTGGTGGGCATTCTTCAGGTACCAGCATGCAGATTAAAACCAGCCTTGGATGTTTTAAGTAGAAATATGTTCTATCAAACAAGAGAACATTAGCAGTTTGTCCTCTCACTGGTGTTGTGAACAATGAAAACACAAACTAAAATGCATTGAGGGTATATATACAGTATGCAGTTAATGTACAATTGAGAGATTTCATCTGAAGTGGTAAAACATCCTGTTTTTTCCGGAGGTATTCAGAAAGGTAGTTGTAGATACAAGAGTTCCAGAATAAACCAATGGTGCCTGACACACTTCAACCCAATAATTTACCGTATATGCAAGTTTCTCTCAGACGTGATGGAAGTACTGTACACCAAACCGGTAATTGTTGGGGATTTGTATAGCGCATAATCTCTGCCCTGAACATGAGTGCACATAATACATGGCCCTTATGTGCTGAACATGAGCGCAGTTTCATTAAAGATTAGTGAGGACATCAAGCCTCTGTAAAGCTGCAAGTACTAATGGCAAATTCGAATGTTTGTCGACATCCAGCTGACCAAGTGTATACATCTGACATCACTCTTTCTGATGATAGTAATGTCGTTGAAGGGATGTTCAACAAGCAACAGTATGTTTTTTTGTGTTTTGTGGCAGTGAAGATGGAGTGGATCAAAACCGATACATCTAGATGTTCAGATTCAAAATCTTCGAAGCCCATACAATGCTGACACAAAATAAACATGTTAAGATTTATATTAAATAGAAAAGAAAGCTTATACATTTTCTTTAAAAATGTTTGATAGTTACATGTACATGTTGGTCAGTATTGAAAGTTGAATAGTCTAATTCTGTTTCTTTTTGTCATTACAAAAATCTAAATTGTGTTCCACTTAATTGTTTGCCTTCAATGTTACAGCAAGTAATGGCCAAGACAAGAATACAAATGCTACTGAGGGTGTCAATGATACATCCTTGCCCCCAACCCCGGGCTCAACAGTTGCATCTGACCCCCTAACCAAAGAGGACACTATCCAAATGGATACCTCTGCTGCCCTAAAAGCAGAAGACAATGAGAGTCTGGTTGTTCATGTCGATGAACCTGCTCTACTTGAGCTAGATGCTGACCTTACCTCTACCCCTAAAAAACCGCTAGATGATTCTACTGCTGAAGAGCAAACGACGGCTCGCAATGCTGATGACCGTAGTGGTACACCCACTAAAGATGAAGGAACTGACAAAGGTGTTGAAACGGACACCACCAGTACAAAAACCTCAGAGGCTAAGGATGGCACGAAAGAATCGGGTAAAGATGAAAAGAAGGATAACAAGTCTACCAGCAAAGATGCAACAGGTGACAGGAAAACTGGTTCAGGTTCAGCTACTAGTGGTTCACGCAGCAAAAGGTTTGTGATGTCCATTGTATTAGACACTGATTGGCAATCATCTCCTGTCATCAGTCTAAGCAATGTTCTTGTTTATTATTAGTTCGTTTTGCTTTGTGTTAAAGGAAAAATCTAACAGTATGACTGGATGTAAGGAAACAAGCTAAAAGTAGTGTAAACTGGTAGTTATTAAATAGTTAAAAATATATAACAGGTAATAATATTTATGAGCATGGAACAATACTAAAATAAATAAAATGCATGATGGTGAAACCAATATCCTAAACAATTTCCGGCCCCTGATCCACCCATACTGATGGAGCAGTCTGATTTGTTTGATAAGTTGATATCTTGGTTCATAGTGATGTAGGTTGAGACTAACGAAGACACTTGGATGTAGCTGGGGCTTGACTTCTCCGTATCATGACCCCATAAGCAATCCGAGGAACTGCTGCTGTGCAAATCCTTGCGCAAGAGATTTGATGCTGAGGGCGACTATTACTACAAGATCATATACAGAATTGTACTAGAAGTGATGGCTTTTTCACAGGGCAAACTTCTAGGCTACCTGGTAGGATAGTGAAGTAGTATGTGTGCAGATAATTGCCACATTGCTGGACTACTCCCGAAGGAAAAGGTCGCGCATGGTTGCTTGAATCTAATAACCACGGAACTTTGCGAGTGCGTTGCATCCTTGGCAAAAGGTGCTATATAAATGTTGCAAAACATCTGTTGAAAAAAATTAATTAAAATTAGTTAATGACTCCTTTTTTTTTAAATCTTTAAAATGAATATCTGCTTACAATAATATTACACCAAAAAATGAAACAGAATGCATATGATATCATCATAGTTTATTTTGATTAAAATACACACATTAAGTACATATGCCCCTGAGATGTTTTTCAGCAATGCGATAATTTTATCACTAACCCACAAAAATTGTTTGCAAGATCTATGAGGAACGATATGGCTTGAAATCGTGCGTAGAAGGATCAGTCGTTGTGGTACGAAGAGGAGTTGCATACTGAGATTCTATTCATCATATGTTGTTTTTAAATAGTTGTAAATTTGGCATGTCGACTTGTATGGTTTTTCAGTTCACTTAATGTTTGAAATGAAATACAAGACCATTATTCAATGCTTTTATTTAAAGTAGTCACTGATTACTCAACAGATCTTTAAAAATAATTATCATACAGTATTTTTCAAGTAATTCAATATATGCAGTAGATAATTAAATGTCTAAAGCTTACAGGTTATACCTTCGGGTTTAATTATGCTCTTCATTTATGCTAGGAAAGTAGGTTTGTAAAAAGTATTTTGTGATAAACTAGGATAATTTTAGTATTTGATTACAAGTAACATATTACAATATGTTAAATAATCTGCTAAATTATTAACTTTGGTGATCTATACTTGCAGCTCTGCTTCAACCAAGACACCATCACGTGATGAAAAGGGTAAGTTAACCAAAAGGAAAAAAAATTATTAATTTTGGCTTGTGATTACTAGAAATTGCGAGTACTAGTGATCCAATGCTAATTTTAATGGTTGGATTTTTATCCACTGCTTACCATCTTGCCTGAACGGATGTTTATTTGTTAGCAATAAGGAAAATTTTAATATGTATTCTGGCTACTATGAAATATACTTATCAGAAACATTGAAACTAAATTGTTGTCAAAAGATAATGTCAAATTAATCTGGTGTACAATACTCATTGTGGCACTACACATCACATATTCCATCCTGCAAATGGTAAGCTGCATGCTGTAAATTAAAAAAAGAATAAAAAAGTATATTGCAAGTGTGTATTTATTATTTATATGTGATACCATTATTATATTGCAGGTCGCAATCTGTGGGTAAGCAACCTGTCGAAAAATACACGTGCAGCAGATTTGAAATCAGCATTCAGCAAGTATGGCAAGGTAATTCATAATGGATAAATATTGTTATATTTTGATCTTATTAAAGACTATCTATTGGACAATAGAGCAAAATAATTAATGATTTATGTTTAAAATTTGCTGCTTTATGACCATAATTGTGTACATAAAATGAGCACATTTCATGTTTTTATTAAAGGTGATTGGAGCCAAGGTGGTAACTAATGCACGTAGCCCTGGGGCAGCTTGCTATGGGTTTGTTACCATGTCAACAAGTTCCGAGGCTGCCAAGGCTATTAATCATCTTCATAGGACAGAGTTGCACAGCAAAACAATTCATGTTGAATGGGTAAGTTGGGCCACAAAAAAGAAAAAAAAGCAATACCTACATCAGATTCATATAATTTTTCAGCAACCAATCTTCTCTCAATTGTATTTCTTTTAGAGCTCATTTATATTTTGGACTTCTCGGGAAAAATCAACTTAAATTTGTTATGAATTTGTTATTTTTTCTGCATAAATTTGTCTACTTTTTTTTTTAAGAGGAAAAAATACATTGTGGTATATTGGAGGACATTTGTCTGTGCATTAAGGCTGGTTAAATTTACTTACAAATATTTTACCCATTTAATTTACAGGCTAGGAATGATCCTGCCCCTGGTTCATCTAGAAAACCAACAACTTCAACCCCAAGGAGGGATAGCCGAGAGTCTAGCAGTCGAACATCAGACACAAAGAAAGATCCTAAATCAGCTGAGAAATCAAAAGTATCTGAGAAACCAAAAGCTGCTGAAAAGAAACCAACTGAAAAGAAACCAGCTGAGAAGTCTAGTAAGGTAGCAGAAAAAGACAAACCTGCTAGCAGCAGCAGAGATAAGACCTCCAGCTCAGCAAAGGATAAAGCGAGCAGTAGCAAAGAAAAGTCTGAAGCTATAAAGAAGGAAGAAAAACTTGGTGAAAAGGTTGAAGATAAGAAGGCTGATGAGAAGAAAGAGGGTGTTAAACCAACTTCTAGCCCGGTAAAGTCTGGGACTGCAGGTGTGTATCATACTGAACCAGTGAACAAAATTGACATACAGTATACATACCATTATATTTTATTTTTATTTATTCAACATAATCTTATTTATTTAAAAGTCTCCCAATTTTCTGTCAACAAAACAAAAATACTTCATACTAAGTTTTAATGTGCATTAGTGTACTACTTTCCTGATGAAAGTAAGCTAGAAGTCAGCAGTTTCATTTCATAGATTCACACGCTTGACAAATATAAGTGTTTAGTATCATTTTTGTGATCAAGTTGCGCTTAAGAACCTTTAATGATATGTAACTGAAACGTGAGACAATGGATAATGTGTTACACAGGAAACCTAAATGTTATTTCAACATATATAATATGAAAAGAAATAAATTTGAAAAAATTTCTAAAATGCCTTTGACCCACATTCATCATATAATATAAAAAGAAATAAATTTGAATGATTTCTAAAATGCCTTTGACCCACTTATTCATCCACGTGCAACTGGATTGAGTGTTTCTTTTTTTTATATAAAAATATAATGATGGGCCTTGGTCTCCAAATCTATACAGACAAACATGCACTACATTGAAATATTAACTCTCAGTGTTTTCTCGGCTCTAAGTGGAAGATATTCTGACAAAGGAGTTAATGAAACAGCAGTCCTTAATATTTTGTTGGATACAATTACTAAATAATTTATAATATATATTAGTTCATTTGCTATATTAGATTTTTATAGCATGTTCTTGTATGTATAATTTTACTCCTTTAATAGTGTTAATTTCTTTACAGTTTTATAGAATTTGTTAAAATAAAAATATTCTAAAGGTTTAGAGACCAGTTATAACCTTAACATAACCTAATTAATATTTGACATTTATGTCTAAATTGTCTTTATTCCTTTTAGGTAAATCGGATGGAAAGGCAATAGAGGAGAAGAAAGAAGGAAGCAGTAGTAAGCCAAGTCCAGGAACTAGAAGAGATTCCAGTAAAGACAGAATTAGTGCTAGGTCATCTTCACAGAATAATGCTGACAAGAAGGAACGAGATAAGAGGGATTCAAAAGATAAAAAAGATGTTTTGTCATTGGATAAAATCAAAGAGCAGCGAGAAAGAGAACGTCAGCGCCAGCGAGAACGAGAGATGAGGGAAAAAGAGCGTCGTAGGATGAGGGACCGAGAAAATGCTTTGAGGCGGGAACGAGAAATTCTACGGAGACAGCACAGAGAAGAAGAGATGAAGCTCCAAAGGGAGAGAGAACAGTTAGAATTGGAAAGGCAGCGGTTGGAAAGAGAAAAGTTAGAAAGAGATCGTCTTGAACGCGAAAGATTACGTTTACAGCAAGAACGTCTTCGCGAAGAGCAAAGGCTTGAACGTGAACGGGAGGAACAACGCCGGTTGGAAATGCAAGTTAGACAAGAGCAAGAAAGAAGAGCAAATCTAAAGAGAACACTTGACAGCCGAGCTCCTCCAATCCGAGAAACAGACCCATATTGGCATGATACCAAAAGAAGTCGTCCTGGTACCATTGAAGAATTTAACAGACCTGACATGAATGAACCAAATCTTTGGAATTCATCCAGAGTTGGTGACAATTCTCACATTGAAAGAAGAGTAGAGCGCTATGACAGGCGTGGTAATGAACAGATGAGACGTGAAGATCTGCAGGTTACAAAGTTTACTGGTCAACAAGGTGTTGGACGTTTTAGAGAAGAACAAGTACGGCGTGATGATACCAGACGAGAGGACAACTTGAATAGAGACAGCCGCAACAGACGTGAAGAAGCCACCAGGAGAAATGACCCTGGTCGCCGAGATGGCAATAGGCGAGACGATTTCCGAGCTAATGAAGCCTCTAGACGAGAGGACCCCTCCCGAAGACGAGAAACTGGGCCAAATCGAAGAGATGCAAATGCTACAGCTACCAGAAGATCACCAAGGGATGAACGAAGAGTCGTTGCTGCCGGTAGAGAGCGTGATTCTCAGAGGAGACAGTCAGGCGGTGTTGCCAGAGATTCTCGATATCCACAAGACAAATCTAATTCTGTTAGTGATCATTCAGAATCTCGTAATCGTCAGCATGACAGGCAGCATGACAGAGGAGACAGACGAGAGCCACAGAGAAATGCACAAGATCGTGACCGTAGTAATACGCATCATCATGCTAATGAACATCGTCGTGGTGGTGTAGCCTCCCGTGAAGAATCAAGTGGACGCCCTGGCACTAGGAATGAGAGTTCAGCTAATGCCCGGTCTGATTGGAAACCAGATCATCGTGCCAGTGGACAAGTCCGAGAATCTGGTGGTCAAAGATCAGATAGGAGAATGGCTGGATCAGAAAGACATGTTGAACTTCGTGGCGAGACGGAACGGCGTGATTTCAACAGAGATCGTAATCAACAGTACTCGGCAAGAATGGAATATGACCGCACAACTGGCCGTGATGAACGAGGTGGCCGAGATAATCAGAGTTCAGTTCATGGTATCGGCTTACTTGGACAAGGACCACGTCAACAAGAAAATAATTGGTCGCAGAGCACCCTTGATAATTCGCTGATGAACAGGCCAGTTGAACGTTGGCCAGCATCGGGTATGGTTGGAGGGCCAATGAATCAAGGCAGCATGTCACAGGTGTCTCAGCCAATGAACCAGCCGATGATGAATCGCTCAGCAAGTGGCGGCTACATGGGTGGAGCGGGTGGAGGGCCTGGCATGCAGCAGTCAAGTAGTATGGGTAGTGGAATGTATAACAACATGATTAATACAATGCCATTAGCGCCTGGTCCAGGAGGTAGTGGTGGTAATTTTGGAATGGAACGAAGTCGTCCACCGCAAGCTGATGTAGGGTTTGGTGGTGGACAGAGGGGTCAAAGATATTAGGATATCAGGTTTTTTGTCAAACAACTGAAAATTGAATGTAATTATTACAGATCTTAGAAAATAGTGATTCTGTGGTCCTACTTTTAAGCACAAAAATATATAGGCCTACTATGATTGCTTTCAGCAACTTCCCACCCATTTTACTTGAGACGAACATAAAATCACTGTACAGGTATTTAAATTATTGAATTTATCATGAAGTAGAAATATGGTTCTTGTGATTTATAGGTTAACGTTGTTGATGTAATGCCGGGTTGTTGCACTGTGCTTACTGTTGTAATGGTTTTAGTATAAAATTTGACCATTGGCTATCATGAGTATTTTCCATGTTTCATCCGGATTACTAAATGTTATTGGTTTTGTTAATGCTCCAATGTTTGCCTTTTAATAAATATTGTTATGCTTATATGAGATGTATCTTTAGTTTTGTTATTGTTTTAACTGGAGACCAGTGTTAGCAACAATTCAACAAGATTAGCGAAAGTGAAATGAAGAACTGAATTGTTATCACCGTTTTTAGTCATCTCAATAAGAATTATGCTGTATCTGGAACAAAGGGCTTGTAAATCACTGTCTTTACGTTCCTTTAATTGAGGATGTTGACTATCGTTAACTGCTTATTCAGCGTTCATTCAGGATGTAGGCCCAATTGAGGGCGCTTTTACTAATTATTTATTTATCTTTAATATAAGATTGTTAAACCTTAGTATTGATAAACTATACAAATCTGATCCATTTAGTACACATACCAGCAGTTGGCGAAAACAATTTGCCCTTTTGTGTCAACTTTGCTATCCTGGTCAATCCCGACATTGTGAGCGCGAGTTGACATTCACAAAAGTGTGAAGTAAGAATCCGGAAGTGTAAAGTTGACATTATGTCACATTCGTGATGTGTGATATGACGTGATTTCACTACTACCCGTGAACTCGGTCGTATGTGGTACGACGCATTTCTAGCCAATTCGTCATTATAGTGTATAGGCGGACAGTTCCGAAAGTTGGAAGTTAAAATTTAATCGAGTAGAAGTGGTTAAACAGGTCAACAGTTGAACTCGGGTCGAGACTGTTTTGCTTGTTGTGGTTCCCGTTTTGTTTTTATCTACCCTAACTCGGTGGTTTTGGAGTTGATGCTAGCTTATTAACAGTATCAATCATCAGTAAGTCTGCACAAATTAGAAAGCTGGGATAAAAATAAAAAGCACCGTTTCTATTAAATTTGGCAGTAGATACACACTCCCGCTGGGAGCCTATTTGTTATTGTGCAAACTTCCACTGTGTAAAACTCGCGAAATAAAGTGTGCGTGAAAACCGAGTGGTAATTGCGCATTGTTCAGTGATGTAAGCCTATCAGCCTAGATTGTCCCAGATTATCTTATGATAGTATCTGAATCCCAGGTTTTCTGAAATCCCAATCGCCGCCATTCTCTAGGTCAGTCTGTCCTACCATGCATTATTAGTTAATTGTGTTTGTATTGCAAATAACGGCTTTAAAAGGCCGATTTTTGAATTTTCCAGAAATGTGGATTAAACTAAATTATATTTTGTAAATAATTGTACTTTAATTGTCGGAGCTCAAATTGTATTTAAGTAATTTCAAGACCATTAAAAATCATCGATTATTCCCTAAAGTATAATGCCGCCGCCTTCAAGTACCATAAGCCCTCTGGGGAGTGGCGCAAATATGCAGTGATCATAGTATTTAATAGTGATTTACGTATTAATTTTATCTAATTCGGTGGTTTAAATAAATAAGAAAACAGCCAAGGGCTAAGTATTTTACAAAAATGTATAAAAGAAAGAATCGGTACGATTACATATTCAAATAATTCAGATGGCACCGAAAGTATACTAAAAGCATTGTTTCAAGTGAAATCTCTGTGTATAAAGGAACACAAGATGTGTACACAACCGTCTTCACTGGAAATTAATTGTATCTAATATATTAATGGAAATTCATTAATTTACGGTTTCTATTCATTAAAATAAACTTTTCAGCAATCCAATATTTGGGTGTACTTAATTACAGGAGTGGCGGGGTGGGGCAGGACCCCTAGTCGGGGAGAAAAACCACAATTCATCGTGGAGAAAAAAAGTATTTTCTACATACAAAATCGATTAAATAAGCCTTTGAAACCCCTAATTTGTCATTTTTCAGGGCGACACCCTGAGATTTTGAGAGCGACACCCTACCATGCCCAATTTTTTGTCGGGGACCTCGGGCCCCTTCCCCGTCGGCAAATCCTGGCCCCCACCACTGCTAAATTAGCTTATTGAGCTTCCAAGTAGACCTCAGGGCCGTAGCCACAAGAATTGAAATGGTCAGGTTGCGAGCACTAAAGCTGGGCCGCGAAGGGCCCCCGGGAAAAATTTGCTATTTTGCCATTGTATAGGCCTACACCAATTTAATGATGTTCTGTAGCTGTAATCTAATACATAATTAAACAATATTTTTTTTATAAAAATATGTTTTAAACTAACATCAAGGCTATAATGAAGCAAAACATAATCAAAATACTTCGAATTCAAAACGGCAGGATTATTCAAGAGAGAAAGCTTGTTACTCACAGCATTGCTGTTATTTTAGTATTTTGCCTTTTGACATTAACAAAAATCTAAGATTAGACCTATAAATAAAGAATAATATTGCTATATGGTACACTTTCAACCAATACATGCAGGCGCTGATCCAGACCTTCGCACTGTTCGCCATTGCGAAAGTCTGGGTGAGAGATAGAATGATATTTATAAAAAATATAAAGTGATTGCAATGCCTGGTTGTCTGCCAAGTTCCAATTTTTCTGTCAGAAATGCCACCTGCTTCCACCGTAGACAAAAATTTAATACACTTTTTGCATTGTCTAAATAATTATTAAAAGGGACTAATTAAATCGATGTACAGTTGAATTTTTTATTTATTTTTTCTTATTTTATTTTGATTTATATGTCACGATGCATGGTTAATCAAAAAACAATCACAGGGAGAATATACACGTGCGTTGATCTTATAACCTTATTTGAATGCATATATCATTTTATTTTTTGTTATTTTAAAATCACGAAAGAAAATTATGCATATTTTATTAATTTCATGGTGGAAGTAAAATCACACCAATCAAGTTTGGTTTTAGATGGTCAGAGTAGAATTGTTGAAATTGATGAGAATGTGCTTAAGTTCGAAAAAAGGAAAAGAGGAGTAGGACTAGACATAGACAAATATGTAAAAAGATTAAAGTTGGAAATATACTGTCTGTCCAGGGATCGGAGCTCTCATCTGTCCAAGAG